GAATGGACCTTAGAGTAGTTCTGCCTTTCCATCGTTGAAAACACTACTAGCGCAGAGAGAGAGAGAGAAAAAGAGAGAGATTGATACGGTGATGATGGATTAGCGCAATTAGCGCCGATCTGTGGATTCCTGTGGGATGTGGCTGTCGCACAAAAAGGTAAACTTCACAATCGCCCCCGAAACAATAGAGAAAAAGACTTTTCCAAGGCTCGCCATGTGATTCAAGAAGACCCTCAACCTGAGTTTTCCCCGTTCCAAAGTGTACTTTGCTGTCAGGTAGTGCCCGTGAGTGGAAGGAGTGGGACGTGGAGGAGAAACCCAGTGTCTCGCCATGCATTCTTGGATGCCCTGCCAGGCATAGGAACCTGGCAGCGGATTCTACTGCGTTTCCTTCGTCTCTGGAATACAGAAGTGCTAGAGCGGTACTGGGTATGTTTGCCATATCGGGTCCCGCCTAAAGAAAGAGCAGAAAGCACAAGAAGGTGTTTGGGCTCCCTTAAAAGGGTCTTATTCAAGGATGCTCTGCTTTTAGACGCTTTGACTTTCTTGCCTTTCTTTTGGGGTTCCGGGTTTCCCTTCGAGGTCGCAAAAAAGACAAGAATGCAGCCCACGTGGAGTGGCAACGCAGTTCCCTTAGTGAAGACATACGAAATGCGGTGCGATTGCATCGTTTGGAGAATCAATCGGCGTTTCATGTCAAACGCATGGTCAGTGAGGGACAGCTTTGGATCATACTTTCGCATCGTTAGCACACTCCAGGTCGTCAAAGCTGGGACAGCTGGAAGCTTAGATCCGGTCGCGCATGAGAAGATGCAAGAAACATCAACAGTATAACTGTTTCGTTCTTCTTTTGGGGGGGGGTAGGCTGTGAGTGAGCTTTAGTGAGCTAAGCAGAAAGGGGTGGGGGTAGCTACTAAGCTTTAGAAGCTAGTACCAATCGGACGCAAAAGGGCTTGGGCTTTTTCAAGGAAGCCCCCCAGCTGCCCGCGCAGCCGAATGTCCTGTGAACTGGCGCGCAAGCCGCAAAGAGTCCGCAAGGAGGTTTGTCAAATTTGGACCGTGGCAATTCAGTGAGGGCCCGCCTTGTTACGCGAGCCGCCCATAATTGAGCCCACAAGCGGGCGCGCAATAGCGCCAGCGCTGTTTTTGGGAACGGCCACGCCGAGGCCCGCAGGCTGTCAGGAAGTGATGATTAAATCGCGTTGTTGATCGCTGGCCTGCGACTGCGAAGTGTTGGAGAGTCGATTGTGGCCTGTTTTGTTTAAGCGAGTTTCCTTCTCCTTTCTAGGGAGCTAGGCAGGTTGTTCACAATTCTCTCCACCAGTCAGGGTTGTTGCCAAGCCCTGCAATGAGACTCACAGTTTGTTGTTCGCTGCAGGGTTGGAGACGGTTGCGTGCTCGGAAGCGGCTGCCCGACCCACGCAAGCAAAAAGGAAGGAAACAGCAAGCAGCGTGCAGAGGAACGCAGCTTCCAATGCAATTATAGATTGTCTAGCGCGGTTTTCTCAACTTAAGTGGAAATTGCGAGGCTTGTTTGTGGCATCGCGGTGTGATGTTGCCATGTTTGCAAATGCAAATTGAGTGTCAGTGAAGTATTCTGCTTCGACTGCTGTTCGGGGGGCAACTCATTGGTCTGCGCTGAACGTCGATCAGAATGAGTGGCGTATCCTGGAGCTCGCTGGATCCAAACATGATGTCAGACCCGTGGCCGATCGTCCGACGCAGGCTCAGCGCAAGCGGCGATTCGCTTTGTTGCCCTCGGTTGTCAGCCGCCAGTCATCGCTGCAGCTGTGGCCAACCCAGCGGAGTACATGGTAGCGTCGCTTTCCCCCCTTCCTCGCCCACGCGTGCGATTGTTGTATGTTCTTCAAGGCTTCAACACTGCAGCTTGTCAAATTCCCTTTTTAGACATTTGAGGATCGCCAGAGAACCGGAGCCACTCCCGAGCAATGCGGCAATTTGCTCACGCACGCCAGGCCTGTTCTTCTTTTTTCCAGTGCTTAATGCAAGGTAGCCACACGTTGGCTTTGCTTGTGGGCGCCGCTGTTGAAAACTCTCCGCCCGAGTTTCGATCAGGGCAAAACTAAAATCTTGGCATTCACGTCTCATCCTTCCCGCGCATTCTTTCCATGATTCTTGAGTTGGCGGCTTTTCTGGATCCTTGTTGCTGGTCTGGTTTTTCTTTCTTGGCTTCCTCCTTCTCCCTGCGTGGCCGCTTCGGTGTGTTTTGAATGTAGCGGGGAAGCCGTACTTCAGTGGATAGGAAGGCGCCCAGTCCAGATTTGAAGTCCGAGAAGGCCGAGCTGTCGCCGAGTGGCTCCTCTTTCTTCGCGCAGTGCTGTCCGAGAAGAAAAGAATACCAGGAAAAAAAGGTGCGACGGCCCTAGAAAAGACATGTTTTAGTTTCCCTTAAGCCAGGGAACCAAAGCAATCATGCAAGCCTGAGCCTTTCTGCGTCCTAGCTACTAGTGTCTTCAAAATTCCCCCTTGCAACGCTACTAGCTTCTTGTTACGTGTAATCACGAAGCAAAACCTCGATGTGATCCACTGTTGAAGCGGGATGGTGCTCTCAGGTCGAGGAGACTGGAATTGGCGTGGCGGGGGCTACTGGGGCTTCTGCCTCAGAAGCGGTATGTTTTGTTCATTGCGTTCGGTAAAAGGATTTGAGGAGAGATGAGCAACTTGCGGTCATGTCCATGGAGTCCATTGTGGCTGATACTGATACTGTTCTTTGTGGTTATCGTTATCGTCGTCGTGCAGCTCGGGGTTTTGTCAGTGCTTGACATATTGTTTAACATTTTGGCACCAGACTACAGGTTACAGGTGGGTATTCAAGGGCTCAACAAAAACATATGTATACGTTGCTCGCTTGGCTCACTTTGTGTAAGGACTTGTGCCGGCTCCATACGTGGCTGCTTTGTGGAACGAAGGCAATAAACCCAGATGGACGGTAATAAAGATCTGCAATTTGCGCTTAACCCTGGTTTTTTCCTAGAACAGCCAAAAACAACAATAACAGATAAGGGCCCTTTTGAGAAAGGATCCCTCAAAAAGGGCAAACATGTTCCTTTTTTGTCATCACTTTTTTGTTGTTTTTCTTGTCTATCAGTTTACCATTTTTGTTAACACGCCTGCTCCTTGTTCTGCTTTGCTCTGGTTTACTCCGCCTCATCGCATGAGGCGGCAAAGGTGGACGAGGCGACAAATACTCTCCGTTTTATTGGTCAGGTGCAGGAGTGAATGTTGAATTGCATCCTGGATTCCCTGGATCTTTGCATTGACGGTTGATCTTTTGGAACATGCTGCAGTGGAGGATACTATGACGAGTACCCGCCAAACGATGCATCGTACTCTCAAGCCGTGGCAAGCTTAAACAAACAAAACCGTTTGGAAAAACTCTCTAGAGGTCTAAAAACGAGAGAAAGAAAGGAAGGTCCAGAAGATTGAAAAAGAAAAATAAAGGAGTATTCGCATGAAGATTGGGTGGCTGACCATGGCTGACCTGTCAGAACCGACCTCCGCCAAAGCCGCCAACAAGCCAGGATCTTATTCTGTTCTGCCATCTCTGCGATGATATAAAACACGATCTGACAAGAACCTTACGGAAAACCTTACAAGATGCTTCAGTAAGGTGTAGTTCCGAAGCTTTAACAGTGATAGACTGATAGACTTGTCAGTTTGGCACTTTCGTTTCCAGGTAAAACCACAGAGGACTTGGGCACGGAACGCTGGCAGTCACTTGGCTCTACATGTGGTGAGAGTCGCTGTGTTTTTCAAGACAAAGGGCTTTTGATGGCACACGCACTGAGGTGATTTGAGACCGAAAGCTTCTTGCCAAGTTTTTAGTCTGTATTTTTCATTATGAGATAACTTGAGCATCGCTCCAAAACGGAAACACTGTATTTTTGATTTTGCATGTCCTGAAAATCCTGACTGCCAAGGACCCTTTGGGAGCCTTTCACTTTTCCACAAATCCGCAAATCTGCTCCCGGCTTATCAACTCGACCAGGAAAAAGGTTGCACAGCAATTTGACGTGCCGAAAAGCGAAGAAGAAACAAACGTCTAAAGCTCGAAAGAGAAAGCATAGAAAAGTCAACTCTCGGTTTCTTCAGGCGACAAATTCTCACCAGGCCGTGGAAAGCGGCCGTGCAAACGACCAGTTAGTGACCCTGACTGCCCGGGCGCTGTTTTAGCGCGTTTCGGCATGACCCCCAGTTCAGTTGGTTGGACATTGGTAAGAGCGATGGCCTCCAACTATCACTGCTTTCTATTACTGTACTTGTTTAACTTCAGGAAGATGCGAAGTGCTGGCTTTCTTTGAAAGGCTTCCTCACGAGTGGATTAGACAGTTAACAGCTGCATGCCACAGAAGGCCACACCAATAGATTGTAAGATATTGCAAGTATTTTCCCATTTATCACTTGTTTGGTGCTGGGGAGATTGCCCTGGCAGCATGGAGCCATTTTGGCCTGGGAAGTCAAAGAAATCGTTGAAATGCAACTAGGGGCTAATGAAGCGTCCTTGCTCCTAGTAGCAATGCCCTTTGCTCCTAGTAGCGTCCTTGCTCCTAGTAGTAAGGCCAGGAGCCCCTAGTAGCATCCTTGCTCCTAGTCAAAGAAATCTGTTACAATGAGACTAAATGAAATTCTAATCGTTGACCGTGCATTGACTTTCCGGACCACTTGGGCACAATCAGACAGAATGGTAGTTTCACCGTGTGGAGGCTCAATACACACCTTCGTCTGAAAAAGGACTAAGAATGAAGGTAGGGCCTTATTAAAGAGGCCCTGGCATTCTTTTCTTTCTGTTGTATTCAAGAAGGGGAAGCAGACTTGTCGAGCGCACTCCACAGCAGCGAACTTCGAGCTGTGCCGCCCTCCGCCGCTATTTTTGTGCAAGCTTGCTTAGTCATGCACTGACACTGCACATAGACGGAAATTGAATGGTGTGGAACAAAATGGTGTCATCTCGTGAGTACATTCTGGCAAAAAGACAACATTTACTGTGAACATTTAATGTTGGGTGCTTGAAACGTCTCTCCACTTTGACACTGCAACCCTTTGCTGGACCCTAAGTGAGATCGAAGCGTACTACAGGGACCGTACTACTTGCATTTGAATGATGTGACGTGATGGTAACCGTAGTCAATCCATTTCCAAGGCGTCATGGGCGGCGGTGCACATTTGCTTTGGGCTCGGTTTCGGCAAGTATTTATAGCTTTGTTGATGCTTTGGAAGAGGTGAACACACGCAACAATAATGCCCGAGGCACTGTTTGTGCATTGATTGATGCCAGTAACTGCATGCCTGTCCAACACATGAACAAATCAATGTGTATACGAAGCATGTTTCAGTGTATGCCTCTTCCACGGTGTTTCTCAGGTTGCCACACCCACACCCGAGGCCCTTCGAGCTCTTTGTGAGAACCCCATCCGAGATTGTTCTACAGCTCGAGGCACGGCAGGAATGCCGCGTTGTGGTGGCAGAAGTACTGTATCATGCAACACAACATTAAGAGCAAGAACGCTACTAGGAACAAAGGGCATCGCCACTAGAAGCGTTCGGACGCTACGAACGGGGCTCCTGGCCTTACTACTAGGAGCAAGAAGCCAGTAGGTTGGAGGCCATAAGCTCGAAGTCGTGATGCGCAAGTTGTGGACTTGTAGCTTTGTCGGAAACCGTGTATGAAGAATAATGACCGATCCTTGCATTCATCATGAGCTTCATCATCATCTACCTACTTCAAAACACGTTCAAAACACCAACCTCACACACAAACACACATCCAATCCGTCTCCCATCATCTGCGATCACTCCTTTACCATCCGCTTTTCTGTTTGTAAAGGAAAAGATTGACATATGAGGTTATCCACTGTAGCAAGCGCAGCCACGGATAAGAAGCTAGTAGCTACCTAGGTTACAGTAAGTAAGTAGCTAGTAGCTTGAGCGTGTGAAGCTCCCGCCACATGACATGGGGGTGCTTCCATTACCTAGACATCGAATTCTTAAAAGTCAAACAACAATTTAAACACTAAACAAAAAGAAATAGATTCTTGGAGAAGCGTGGGCACCTTTGCTTTCTTGAGCACCTTCAGATTCCAGATTTCCCATCAACCTCGGGACTATCATGGGCTATGGTTGGCAACTCCACTTAATTCACTGACTTCAGCAGTCAGTTTATTCCGGGATTGACCCCATACGTGAGTCCAAGGAGTCTAGAGTTGTTTCTTGCTGGGATCCGATTGTTGAACTGGGCTCTTCGGCAAAGGAAAGACTTGGGAAAAATATAGTATGTTTTTGTGATGATTCTGCTGTCGTTGTGTAGGGAAAACAAGCAAACCTCCAATGGTGAGTCTTCTTTTGCTTCTTTCTAGGTGAAACCGAGTGACACCATCGAGGAGGTCAAGGCCAGTCCGAAGAGAACAGCAATCGCATGCTCTAGGTTTTGTGAAGGCCCTCGTTTCTTTTTTTAATTATGCAAAGCGAATCGAAGCAAATAGCAGCTGATCCTCGCTTCAGATCTGAGTTTCTATTTTTGTGTGTGACACAAAATGCAATAAAGGGTGATACAGTGATAGTGATAAAGGGTATGCGAAAGATTCTGAAAGTCTCCTGGCCAGGCACGTCTGGCAACCTTGGAAGGCACTCCAGTCGATGGCCTGAAGAGAATCAAAGCGCAGTCACAGTGAACCTGCCGGCTTAAGTTTAGCTTAAGTTTTCCTTTACATATCTAGGAACCAAATGAATCTCCTGGGCTATCCTGCGTGCTTCATTAAGTAGGCGGCTACTTACTTCAGTATGAGTAGGCCAAACAAATAAGAAATAGAAGACCGCTCAAAAAGAGGGCCTTTGAGCCGTACACACCTTTGACGTCTCAGGTGGAACGTCAGCGTTTATTGCGTCAAGGTGCTCCACTCCCAGACAAACGAAGCCTCGAGGCTGGCGTTATTTCAGGCTTACAATCAAGTCAAAGTTTCATTTAAGCCATTGCGATTGGGCTGGATGCCATCGCTAGTTGGTTGGAAGCCATCGCTAGTAACTTGGAGGCCATCGCCAGTAACAGGTTGGATGCCATCGCTAGTAGGTTGGAGGCCATCGCTAGTAAGTTGGAGGCCATTGCTGTTAGGGTGGCGGCCATCGCTTGGGAGACCATTAAAAATTAGGTGTCTTAGTGTCTTCTTTTCAACCTCACTTGAGAGTCTTTCGGGGGTACATAGGTTCAATGACAAGTGAGCAGCAATAGATTTTTACTGTGTCAGAGTCAGTTCTCCATCAGCCCTTTCTTTTGTTATATATCCACAGTTTCTAGAAACCCTGCTCTTTCTCAGCTGTTTCCACGCTTCCTTTATGCCCCTTTGAAGTCACAGGCTTGTGGTGTTGCAGCAGGGCGCGATCCTAAAACCAAACGACCAGAGTCACCAGGGCGCTTTCACGCTGTGTGAAGGATCAAGAGATAGAAAAAGGACACTAAGATAAACACTATGCAATTTGTTAAAATTGTTGCTCTATTTATCATAGATTCTCTTGAACTTTTTCTTTGCATTCAATCTATGTTTTGGCCGTGTTTCTTTGATTTCTTCATCGTATTTCTATTTGCTGGCTTTTCGACCACTTACTCTTGCCTCAAGGAATGGACAAATACACAGCACCCCAGCCACTACCTCTGTTATACCGTATACCTCTATTGTTACAACGTACTTCTTCTTCATAGTCTCCAACTATTCATGATTCTCTATGTTCATTGTGTATGCATTAGCGTCTATTCTTATTCTCTTCGTTTTCACTGTTAATGTTTGTTCATTCTATTTCTTGCTCCAATTCTGAGGACAGTTCTACTTCTGGTGCCCAGGATGCAAGAGCACGGAGCCCGGCGGAGCCCTGCTGCCCTAAGTCCCACTGTTTCGTCTCATCTCCTTTGTTTCCTTCCCCGCCTCAGGCTCGGACAGCGAAATGTGCCTTTGCGCCTTAATCCCAGAGAGTTTTGAGGCAGTGTGGTTTTGACTCTTTTCTTGCATGCATATGTCATTTCTTGTTGTCTCTGAGTCCCAGAGAAGCCTTTGGCTTCGGGCATTCCGAGACCTCGAATTCCTTTGGCCATAACCTGAATCCAAAAAGCACTTCACATCATTTCACTGGTGTTTCACCTTTGAACGTGAGGTTTGCACAGACATTGCTCGCCCATTTCCGATGAGCCTGGAGTTTGTCAGCATTTCCGAGTGCTCTCATGGCACTTTGAAACTTGTTTGGTCGCTGAGAAGCTTCGCTAAGCTTCCCTGTCAGAAGGTACCGTTATTTCCGTTGCGCGATGAGGTACCAATCCTTCATGCTCTCATTGCAGCGCCAGGTTCAAGCCTTTGATCGGTTTTGATCGCTGTTCAAGCAGCGGGCCACTTGGTTAGCCTTGAGGTCGGAAAGAAATCTCTCACTTCCACAATAGCACATGTGGCCGAGGCACCAAACCTAATCTTGCTTTGCGCATGCGCCCGCTGTGCAAGTTTCCAGGTGGATGAGAGGGCGCCCTATTTGGAAATTTTATCGCTGGACAACATGCGGCCTCCAGCGTGGGCCCGAAGAGCACTAAACCGCTTTCAATGCAGCAATTGAAAGGATATTTATAAGTCCGCGTTGCCCTAGGACGCAGGATATCTCGAAATCACTTCATTTTGTCACTTGAGTCTCAAAAATCATGTAGGGAGCCCTGCCAAAATCGTGCCTGGTAAAGGTCCAGACACGGGTAACATTTGATGAGGAGAGTGAGGCTGGGATCTTGTTAAACAAATGTCATGCAGCGTCACAAGTGTACTAGGAGCAAGAAGCTACTAGGAGCAAGGGCATCGCTACTAGTAACAAAGGGCATTACTACTAGGAGCAAGGACGCTACTAGTAGCTCCTGGCAATACTACTAGGAGCATTCTTATGTACTATTGTTTCGGGAACAAAGACAGAACGTGTACCAAGGTACTCCTTATCGACACTGTGGGTGACATTTTAGTCGACAATGTGCATCTGCCAAGGTTTATTTGCTGGTTTGTGAACCTGTAACTACTGTGCCAATTGAAAAGTCTGTGGGACTGGGTGTTCCACTTATCACATTGCCACTGGCTCAACTTTGCATGTCCAATTTGAATTGACAGACATTTGATGTGCAACAAACAAAAAACTACCCAAGGCCCGATATCGAGTGCTGCTGCACCTGAAACAGGAGCTCCAATGCAGTAGCACTACGGGGTAACATCGTTTCCTCTCTCGGACAACGGGTGCCTTTATCGCAGCAAGGTCCGCCAAGTGTTGTATTTTGGGTCACTTTAGTTCTTGGCATGCACGGTCTCCTTTATTCTTTTGTATTGCCCTCGAGGCCATCGCTATTAGGTTGGAGGCCATCGCTACCAGGGTGGAGGTCATCCCTCCCTTGCATTTGGGTCTTGGTGGCAAATCTTTTGCCTCTAGAGGTTTCCTGACATGTTACACATGTTGACGAAGCGGCAAGAAAGAGTTCAGTTGCATGATCCTTGTCACCTTTCCCGATTTCAATCCTTGGGAGCAACTTGGAAACAAGATTACTCATGGACTCATGGACCCGCTCTTTAATCGTGAAGCCAAACTTGGGAACCAGATTACCAAGACGGCGTGCCTTGAGCAAAGTCATCCAGCAGCATTGCTGGGAACGAGGTGTGTCAACAAATGCGAAGCCCAATATAGACATGTTTCTTGAAGTGCGATATGAACAACATTTGTTAACAAAGCTACCAACACTATGAATACCAGGGGCTCCAGGAGAGGTCGAATAGTGTCGAGGAGTTCGAGGGAGTCGAACACCTACTCTTCATTCACGGTTATCACAGGTTCACGCTTCATTGTTTGTTTCTCAAAGTACGGTTATGCCGTGGTTCAACAATCAAGAAGACTATGTACTTTCTTGTTGTTACTAGTAGTAAGGCCCTTGCTCCTAGTAGCGATGCCAGGAGCCCCTAGTAGCTTCTTGTTCCTAGTAGCGATGCCCTTTGCTCCTAGTAGCGCTTCGTGTGTTTCTCAAAGTACGGTTATGCCGTGGTTCAACTTAAAGATTGTGTTTTTATGATGCTTTAGCTGCTTCAGGCAAACACACGCAAACACCAAGGGCCCGCGCTGTCATATTTGCCGCGCAGTGTTCAAGTGCAAGATCCCCATCGCTCCGCCATCAATTTCAAGGCAAAGGCGGCCATTATGGCACAACACCCGCAATTCTCCATGCAGATCCAACCCCCTCATACGAACTCGGACACGCCTGCAAAGCAACAACAAGTTGGAATTTGGATAGATTTGAGGCTTTCTTGGATTCTGACAGTTACGGTCATTGCTAAATGGTCACTTCTTCTTGAACTCTTTCTCAAGAATCTCATTGTGCTAACTAGATCTGGTTGCACTAGCCACTTACTTTGCTTGCTACTTTGCTGCCTAACTTCTTGCATGGCCTACCCCCCGCAAAAATGATATACATACTGACTAAGTACTAAGTTACTACGAAGAACCTACTTTGTGTATTTTCTTTACACATTCCGTTTTATGCATGCTATTCTATGATATTCGAGGCATTCTTTCAGCGCACAAATAGTATGGTTTGCTTCAAACGTGCGATGGCCTCCAACCGACTAGCGATGGCCTCCATTGGACTCGGAACCCCAGGAGCAGAAATTCGCAGAGCTCGTCACCGGCCTCCGGCCTCATCAGCAGCTCATCCAGAAACGAGTCCTCGGTGAAGGGAGTGGTGAGGATGAAATGGACATCATTATGTCATTGGACTTGTTCTTAGAAAACGGATACAGAAAAGTCAGTATCCAACTAAGATTATATTTGATATTTCTAATTTGATCTTATGCTACGAAGATGAATGGCTCACTTGTCGATGCTTTTGTTGACCTTCTCGTTGCTAAGTTTGATGTCCTTTGGTGTTCATCTCAACTTCAGTCCCGGACGAGTTTCGTTTTGGAACGCACCAAGATGCAGTGCTGGTGTGTCGGTGTGTGAAACTTGTGAAGGGGGGGCATGTCCGTAAAACATTCGATGAACAATTTATGCCCTCACAATGCATTCATGCACCAATACACCGATTCCTGACGTTTCAAGGTGAAACCGCTGATGAACGAGCTGAGGCCGTAACATTCTTGTAGATAAGAGAGATCACACTTTTGTGATCGGGTCAGACATTTCGCCTTTGAAGCAAGTAGCAGCAAGAGGTAGCAAGGGATGAGCAAGCAGAGGTCGTCGTCCTTACTCCTTTCAAAGTACCAGTTGTGAATGGAACAAATGGTAGCAGTTTTCTTGTAAAATTGGCTTTCTTCAAAGTAGGCCCAGGAACGCCAGTTTGCTGCGGTATGTTTCCAAATTCGGGAACGCTGCGCCGCTTGTGAAAAGGCCAAACAGACATGTGTTGAACAACACTGTACTTCCTTGGTGTGATAGAAGCGATCCAAAGGCAAGGGTCAAGATCTTGATGTGAGGAAGTCTCTGTGCCCAGCAAGCTGTCCCGCAGCGGCGGGTGTCTAATATTCTGAGTGTTTGTTGGCTTGGGCACATGTTTATGCAACTCCTAGTGCTTCCCGTTTTCCTTAATCCGCATCGCAGAAGAACAGTTCTGGGTACAACATGAGAAAGTCTTTTCCGGGCGGCATAAGCCGCCTAGCGCACAGCCAATCAGTCCACAAAGTCGTCAAAGTGTAGATAAGACAGGTTGTGCAAAACATTTTCTGTAACGAAGGAACAAGAAGCTACTAGGGGCTCCTGGCATCGCTACTAGGAGCAAGGACGCTACTAGGGGCTCCTGGCATCGCTATAGGAGCAAGAAGCTATTAGGAAGAAGCTGTTCTAAACCGACGCGACGCCATGGACTTGCCCATGGTTTTTCGCGATGAATTGCCATGCGCAGTGATTTTCAAAGACTTTCCGGAAGGGCGAGGTGTTGCTGTGGCGAAGGATGTGAAACGAGGAGATGTGCTGCTACAAGTGCCTTTGGATCGATGCTTGATTTGAGATGCTTCGCTGTCTTTACATGTCAAAACAACTTTCAAAACATGCTGTGTCACCACACAACTCTCTTTGTTTCCCTGATTGACTGTCACCTTGTTTTCAGGTTCTTAGGTAAGGGCTGTAAGGGTGACTGACATTGGTTTGGGTCAATAGCTCGCACCAGAGTTGCTCCGACATATTCATTCTGGTGAGGTCTGAATGAAAAGGTCTGAAATGTTCATATTGTTAGCTACTTGCTCCTAGTAGTACGGCCAGGAGCCCCCAGTAGCGTTCTTGCTCCTAGTAGCGATGCCCTTTGCTCCTAGTAGCGTTCTTGCTCCTAGTAAAGAGCAAACAATGTTCAGATTCAGATGTGTTTGCGAGGTCCAGGGCAGCACGCCTACTTTCCGCATTCCAGACTCCAGACCGGCCCTATTTCTTGAAGTAGAACACATGTAGGCCTTGTTTCCAGAAGGTGATGGTCACGGTGGTTGCCATTGTGTGTCCAAGACCAAACTCTCGAAGCGTAAAAGTCTCTGCCAGAAAGGCCGTTGGAGAAGTACACGCAGTGTACTCTGCAAGAGGGAGGGCCTCATGATGTACAAACGCACTTAAGGGCTGAACCAAAAAGAAAAACAAGAGCGAGAGACTTGGGAGCAAGGACGCTACTCGGGGCTCCTGGCATCGCTACTAGGAGCAAGGACGCACGGGGCTCCTGGCCTTACTACTAGGATGTTCTGAACCGACGCCCAAATAATCTAAGAGATCGGAACTTTCTAGGAAAGAAGTCCGACTTGGGTGAGGCTGCCTGCCCTGGTGGAGTCTAGAAGTAACACCATTGCATTACAATTATATACAGCACAACACAACAGCAGGTAGCAATTCAATTGACTGAAAATAATGAAACAGTCCAACTATGCGTGCTTCGGGCTTGCTAAAGCTTCCAAACTGAATCCAAATCCATTTGCCGAATCCAAGGGGCAAAGAGAGCTGGTGAGCAGGAGCAAGAACGTGAGGGGAACTGTGAGCAACTGGGGGCCAGGAGCTGGGGAGTGGGAAGATAGAAAGCACATCAGCCTTGCAAAAGTTGTTGCTGCCATAAAATCATGTTGCTATGGTTGCCCAAACACCTGTTTTGTTTTGTGCTGCGTTAGCTTTCACACAACGCTCCACTTTGTAGCTCGGAACTGTTGCTTCAAAGTTTCTTCGATTTCGAGGCTGCGTGCGTCTAACGTGTCTAACAAAGCGGTCTAACAAAGTGGCCTTCGTTGTTGGTCATTATCCAGGCGGCGCTGAAGCCTGTCCCCAGTGTTTTGGGTGCCTTCTGCCACGAATTAAGTCAAAGATGTGGGCGCTGACGCTTTGAAAAAGGAGGTCTTTGTAAAACCTGGTCTGTTCACAGTACTTCCGCAACTTGGTTTGTCCGTGTGTAGCTGGCGCCTTTCCAAACTGCGCCTTTCCAACTGTAGTTGAGCAGTTGTGTCAAACATATATAAGCCTTATCTTTAAGCTATTGTTGGTTAACACGTTTGGTTTTAAATACAATTCTATGGTGTTTAGGTGGCCTGCTATAGCACACCTACGCCCTACGCTTTGAGCTTTAAAGTGGACAAGCGAGGTGAAAAAATCGGTTTGTAGGTCTTGAACTTTAGGAAGAACCTTTGACCTTCGAAGCAGGTTTAGGTCTACAAAGTGAAGGGCCCAAACTATACCCTAAAAACCTTAAAGCCACAAAAATGCTAAGTTGTTTCCCACTAAGCCAAAACATATTCAATGACCTCTTCGACTTCAGAAACCACTTGCTTCAAACCAGTTGCGGCTCCACCATTAGCACACCCTGAATGGTCAAATTTGTTTGTGGTTCTGGATATCTATTGGGCAGTGGTCTGGCAAGGCATTGCGGTGAACGATCCAGCCCTTGGAGGGTTGGATGATGGAGCCAGGCGGTGGAGCGGGATAGGAAAAGTAGCGTGTTGTAGCCAAGCGGGCCAACAAATTGAACGACCATACCACACCCTTAAAGTGAGGACAAAATCGCTGTATTTTTGTGCCTTTACATAGCTGGAATATGCAACCATGAACACATGGAGTTGATCACGCGAAGGAGGCGCGGAGTTGGAAGAGTTGGCAGGCCAAACTTGAGAGGGAACAATGTTCGCTACTAGTAACAAGTGCCACGCTACTAGTAACAGGTGCCTTACTAGTAGTAACAAGTGCCTTACTAGTAGTAACAAGAAGCTATTAGATTCTTGTTGGAACGGTCAAGAAAACCACCGAAACTCGTGTTAAAGGGGCCGGTCGTCGCTGTGGCGGAGTCAAGGCACTCGTTTTGTCTCTTCAGATGCCTGTTTGTTCAGTTCAAAAGAGTACTTCTAATAGCTTCTTGTTACTACTAGCGATGCACCTGTTACTAGTAGCGATGCACTTGTTCCTAGTAGCTTATTGTTCGCTACAGATGAAATACGATGAAACACTGTTCAAAGAATCAGTGTTTGTCTTCGGATGAAACCAGACCATGCAGGGCCCCACCAGTCAACGGCTCAAACGTAGAAGGTAGCATCGCTGCCACCATTGTTGTCGCCCTAAGTTTCTGTTTGTTGCATGCCGTTTGCTTATTCGTGGTGAGACTGGGGGAAGTTGAAGCATCAAACAAAAGAACTGATCAAAGTATCTGCAGAATGTAACATCCGCAGCATTACGACGCGGTGAGAAGTGCTTCCTCTTGAAATCGAAAGGCGGAAGCAAGGTAGACCGAGTGAAGTATCCACAGTTGTGTTTGCATTCTCACATACAAAGAAGAGCAAAGAAAAGGGGTCTAAAAGAAGAACAACAAGAAAAGCACACACACACACTTGAACACGCTTTTTGCGGTATTTTGAAGCCTCAGGATGTTGGACAGCGGAACGATCACGCAGAGCTTTGTCAGCTCGAGCAGCATGTCCAGCAGCCGATGTTGCATCAATTCAGTCCATACTGACGGAGAAACAATCTATCATTGCACACCTTATTCTGGCAAACTGTGATGGCAAGGACCGAAGCGGGAATTGAATGTGTCTTCCGTGTTTCAGAGGATTGGGGCTAGAATTAGAAACTGGTGAGGCAACTGATCCGCTGTCAGATCACCAGGGAATTGGAGACAGAAGAGACCAAAAATGCCCTTGCACTGCTGGCGTCGTGTTTTTTTGTGTCAGCAGTAGCACAATGTGACGATACAACGGTTTGTTGCTGGCCTGGCCCCCGCGATCATAGCTTTTGTGTGTTGGGTTCCAGGCGTGTGTAGTTGTGTTTCCTTGGCTTCTGAAGTTTGCTATATGGGAGAGATTGTCAAGAGCAAACCCAGGGAACAAGACTCCAAGTGATTTGGAAAGGAGACATCCTTTGGGCATACCTAGTTCGTACACGCACTTGAACCAGACCCAGACTTGCATGTGCGCAGAGCTGCACCTCCCTTGATGGAGCTGCACGCTCCATCTCTTTTCCAGTCTTTTGTTTTGTGCCCTTGAATTATTTCACCTCACACTCAGGTGTAAGTACAGCTGGCCTGCGTGGCGGGTTCCTTGTCGCCAATTGCGAAATGCATAAAGGCATAAACTCTGACTATTTTGTCAAAGAAATGCGACCACTGCGACCTATTGTCAAAACTTGACACTTGTGCGACTGATCCGCTTTGAAGTGGGACAACCCAGGGAAAGCAGAAGTGGCAAGATACAACGTAGAGCTAACATGCTCAACTGCACGCTCATGAGATACAACGAAGGGTGTTGGTTCATTTTGACAGCAGGTGGTGATGGAAATCGAAATCCGCGAAGGAGTTTGTAACAACTCACCTGCCGAGTGGACATCCCAAAAAAGGAGGCAGGGTTCACAGCGAAGGGATCGCTGCCTTCATCACGCAAAGCCGCGAAGCAGTTTGCTATCTTGTTTTTTTGTCCCTGTAGTCATGGCCTCCAACCCAATAGGGTTCACGCTGTTTGGCTTTTTGGCCTTGGCTCTTTTCGAGTCACTTAATCTCTTTTGATCTGCCGAAGTCCTGCCTAACCCCCGCCAGCGCGAACGCGCACACACACATACACACATTCCGCACAGGGTAATTACATGTACTTACCGGGTACCCATCGCTTGCGTCTATCCAATATGCCTTTAGCACATACAGCAGCAAGACATTGTTGGACTTGTAGATTTGACGTTGGTGACCGAGTGACGTAGTGACTGACAGGACGATTTGGAAGCTGGGCATTTGGCCTTGCTCCCAAGCCTGGAATCAATGAACTTGCCAATTTCTTGGACAGATTCGGAGCTTGAAGAACTGGAAGGAAGTGAAGTGCACACTCACGTTATGCGTTTGAAGGAAGAACTCCCTGAAGAGTTTCAGGAACTTCAAACAAAACTCCGAGAGGAGCTTTGCATCAATTTACTGTTGGAGTTTGAACAATTCCTGTGGGCATGGAGCATCTATTCCTCCCGAGTCATGTCTCTCACAACGGAAAGTGGGGGAAGCATTTTTGCAATTGTACCAGGGCTGGATATGTTTAATCATTCTCCAGGCATGCCTACAGGCCTGTTCGAGCTAGCGAAGGACCATGTCATTGTGAAAGCAGGGGAAGATCTCATGGCAGGAGAGCAAGCCTATATCAACTATGCTGATATGTACAACAGTCAAATGATCCTCTCTTTTGGTTTTCTCCTTGATGAGCGCACTGTACAAAGTAGTGAGATCACCTTGTCCTTGCAAGTCTCGAAAGCTCAGCTGGAAGTTCACCGGCGAATTCTCGATGCAACTGCAGCTTCAAGACACAATCCTTTGGTACAAATTCTGCATGTACCTGAAGCTTCAGATACTGAGCTGATTGTAAAGCATGCTTTCACCTTGCAAGATCCCTTGCCTTTAGCATTCTTAAGCATGGTGCGAATTCAGCATTTGCAGCTTGGAGAGCAAGCACATCCCGCATCTTCTGCAGCTGCAGTTGAGCTGGCACTCCGTGGGCTTCCCAGCAAGGATGAGCTCCATGCTCTTTTCCTGATCTCTGCCCTTCTGGAATCCAAGCTTCAGCAACTGCAAGCATCAGCACAACAGGGGGAAACTTCACATTCACTTGCTAGGAAGCAAAATAGGTCTGAGCAGCAGGTGCTGCAAGCAAGTCTGGAGGAGGCTCGCCGCTTACAGCTTGCCACGATACGGACAGGGCTTAAGTCATTCAGCTCCAAGAAAGGATATTCGGAAGGCGAATGGTCAAAGACACCTTGGCTTCCCCGTTTGAGAGCGGCCTCGTCTGAGCTTCATGCCAAAGTCTCCTCAGTTGCTCGTTTGAGCAAAAGCATGCTGAAGTTCCTTCCTGCTCCGCACTTGCTCCAGGCGTGGCAGCAGGGTGGATGTGAGTCAGACCCCAAACCATCGTCCTTACATGTCCCTACCTTTTTTGCCACTTTCTCTTGAAATCCCAATACTAGAAGGTGCTGGAAGGTAGGTCTGCAAAACACCCCTTGTGGAGAACAAGAACGCATTGCAAAGTTGCGCTGTTTTTGATTGTTTCTTTGTTCTATGCCCTCTACTAGCGATGGCCTCCAAGCTACTAGCGAACCATCCAGGCATGTCACCTGGTGAACTTGTGGATGGTGGGGCGCCATGAAGAGCCACCCACGACGGTCTCCACGGTCGTCCCTACCGTCCTGCATCGCTTTCTCCTGGCAGAAGACACGTGGCCCTTTGAGACCGAGGCGAAGAACGAAGTCGAAGGACGTGCCGGAAGCGACGGACGTCTCCTTGCGACGGAGAGCGCAAGGGATGGAGGGACGTCTCCATGTTCGGAGGGTCTCGTGAAGGACGTCTCGTCCACAGATCCCTCAGGCAGTCCGTCAGGCCACGGCAAAATGAATTTTGAAGATTTGTCAAATCCTTTGTTGTCTTTGTATGATGAGAAGATGAGCTTGTGGGGTTCTTGGCTGTGTGCACAATGGCTGCACTGTGAAGCTGTCCAGCTGGAAGACTGGAGTTCTATGGGAGAAGAGCAAGTGAAAATTCGAAATGAATACAGTTGGAGTGTTCCAACAGAGGAAGCTTTGAGACTTTTGGCTTTGCACCAGCCCCTTGTGGAGCTGGGTGCGGGTGCTGGCTATTGGGCCTCTTTGCTGAAGCAACTGCCAGTGGACATTCTGGCCTTTGACGAGAAACACTTTCGATCTTCATTCAACGAACGTGCCAACATTTCTCAAGGCAGAAATCAGTGCATCGCTTCTAGTAACAAGTGCCTTACTACTAGTAACAAGAAGCTACTAGGAACAAGTGCATCGCTTCTAGTAACAAGTGCCTTACTACTAGGAACAAGAAGCTACTAGGAACAAGTGCATCGCTTCTAGTAACAAGTGCCTTACTACTTGTGGAGGCCATCGCTAGTAGCTTGGAGGCATTTGGAGGCCATTACTAGTAATTAACAAGTGTTCTTTGTTTAAGCCCAACATGTCTCAAGGCCAAGAAATCAGCTTCAAGTACTTTTGTGAAGTTCTTCCAGGAGGTCCTGAGATGATCAGCCAATACCCAGACCGTACTCTTGTGCTGATGTGGCCTGATTATATGGGCTATGGAACATATGGCCTCGATTGTTTGCACCACTACAAGGGTGACAAGCTGATTTTGATTGGAGAATGGAGGACTAGTACCCTGGGTCAGTATACCAGTGGCATTTCCAATCATGGGCAGTCATTCTCACTGGACTTTCAATTGAAAGTCGAGGAAGATTTTCAGCTAGTTGAGGCCTTGAATCTTCCGACTTGGCCACTGTTTCTGGACCGGCTGCATCTTTTTGTCAAAAACGAAAGACCTTGATCCACTTGCATTGTTTTGGGCAGACCTGGACGATGTTGCACTTACAGGGCGTTGAACACTTGTAACATTGCACGCCAAGTCCCTTGGTCATTCTTGGTTTGCACAGCTTAAAAGCTTCACCATTAAAACACGAAATCTGAATGAGCTTAAATAGGGCTTTGGTCACCTGCAATTTCATACTGTTTGATACCCATTACTTAGACGTGAGGCACACGTGTTATCCATCATTCAAGTGCAAAAGTGGACATGTTGCAAGCACCGACTCGCTAAATGGAAGATCATGGGCTGGTCTTTGAAAGTTCAGAGGCGAGCAACCGATCGAACGATCGCTTGGTTGGTTCATCGGAAGCCTAAATGAGCACCCGCTTTGGATGTGGTGTAAGGAAACAAAGGTTAGTCAAGAGAAGAAGGATGAGGTAGAGGTGTCTAGTGTATAGGTAAAGAATCAACACCCTCACTTCGCTGCATCAAACTTCACCACATCACATCTAATTTTATCCTTCACCGCTGCAAAGGACCATCATCGCACTGAGTCACGAGATGAGTAAGCAGTAAGCTTTGATCCAGCTGAAGGTTTTTCTGACAGGAGAGGTTGAAGGAGGTACCTTTCGAGCTTGGAGCCTACCGAAAAGTGTGCAAGAATTTAGTTAGTTTGCGCCCTGGGTTGGGCAAGCGTAATGCAGCGCCCGGTGAGGCCAGTCGAGCAAGCTGTTGCTAGCACTCTTGATGCTCAAAGAGAAATAGGAACCAAATCAATCCGAAGGGTTCTCCAGTGAAGCTGTCCCTTGCCCCGCCTTGCCCGCTTTGCCCTCAGGCAGGGAAAATAGAGTGCCAATTGGGCAATAGCCAAAATCTTCCCTGATATTCCGAGGGGCATCTATGTCACATCAATCTGCGGCGCAAGGAAAACACTGCGTCGCGTAAGCTCCTTGTTGAGCACACTTATTGCGTACGGTTTGTGTAAGTGTAAGTATATACACTAATTTGTTTACACGGAACAATGTAACGTAGCTGTTGCCTTTGCGCAAGCAAATCCTTTGCGAAACCTTTCGGACGCACAATTGTGTGATGGCGTAAGCTTTGTACAAGACTTCGGTTAGCCAAGCGCTCGCGTGATTAAGCTCAAACTCTGGTTGTGTAAGCAACTCGCAAGCAAAAGCGTGAGATTTTGATACGACATATATAGAGGCTTAATCAATCTTAATCGTACGTATTGGCCGGAGCTCAATTGTGACACATAGTGAATAGATGTGAATAGTGATGCAGGCAGAGGTGAGTGCCAAAGTGTTTGTCGCGTGCAGTGCATCGGGATGTTGCACGCAGGTGTGTGTGCAACAGCAATCGCCAAGGCTGCTTTATTTCTCGCAGCGCTAGAGATGCACAGCATACGTGTCTCTGTTTAGCACTGAGGCCGTGTTCGGACCAGGTTTCAGTTCATTGTGGGCCGCGATACATCAGAACAATTGTATGATTACGCACTTCACACCAGCGGCACCCCAAAGTTTCACCTATCTTGACATAAATCTATTTGCCGATCCAAGTCGATCCAAGTGGTTTCTTCTGTCTCTATGACGCTTTTGACTTATCATTGTGTCTATCCGCAACAAACTCCTTCACTCTATCTGTGGCGAGAAAGCACAGCAGCATTTGTCTTACTAATTCGCTCGGAAACAACGTCGGTGCACCAAAGTGCTCAGTTTGGGTTCTCCTTACAGCTAAAGCTGATAGCTCGACTGCTCCAACCTTACACCATTGGCTTTGAGGAGGAGATTCCGTCCAAAGTTTTGGGTTGAACGAGAAGGTGTTAGGCACAACCTGCGCCCCAGATGCAGTGGTCATGTGAGATTTTCCAGTTTCTTCCGGCCCGCAGCATGTTGGGTGCAACAAGAACATTCAGAAATCGTTTGTTGACACCAGCAAGCAGCAAGCACATGACAGGGACGACCAGTGCAATCATAGTAGGTTACTAGGTGGCTACACCGCACCCATAGTTGGCTGCTTAGCCATAGCCCTTCCAACATGACCTTGGACTTAACTTACCCATCCCCTGTCTGACTTGGAGCCTTCACTCCTATGTGATTTGAGCTTAGTGCAAGTACAATGCTGAGAGCTTGATCCCAGCATGGTGTAAGCGAACTTTGAAACTTTTGGCATTCCGCCGTGTATTTGTGTGTATATGCCTGTCTGTGCGCGCGAGCGTGTTCCTACTGTACAGTCAGACTCTTGAGCTCGTTTACTGTAGGGCATGTGATTCTTCTTACTGCTTCTCCAGTCAGTTTCCTGAGAATGCTTGTTTTGTTGGCTTCTTTTGAAGTCGGGAAGCCGCCTAGTCCTTTTTTGAGCCGCACCTAGCAGATTCACACCATTGCGAGCAGATTCGCATGCTCAAAACTGATGAAAGGAGGGAAAGGAAAGGTCCAAGTTTCTTTCTTTTGACGACAAATTGGCCTGGTAGGCTGTGGAGGTGGTCAGCTCCTTCAATCAAATGGGCTTGAAGGCTTGGTGACCCGTTCTGCGCGCGTTCTGGCGTAAGCCCTTTTGAGTTCTTCAACAGAAAGCATCTAAGCTAAAAGCTATGGCCTCCAACCTAACCCTAGTAATGATGGCCTCCAACCTACTAGCGATGGCCTCCGCCTCCAGCCTAATAGCAATGGCCTCCATGAAAAAAGACAAGAAACATGTAAAAAAAAACTGAGTTTCTTCTCATTGCAGACGCATGGGCCGCATGCTATTTCTTCAGGAAGATGTCCTCCGTGGAGTCTTCGCGTATGGCTTCGAGAAGCGACTTGGCTCCAACCGTTGGTTATGTTTTCTATCTTCATGACCCTGCACGGTTCCCCTGTGTGCAAAGATCCTCAGATCCTCATTATTTTTCCAAGTAGAAACTTGTGAGTCCATGTCACAAGGAAACTCCTCGGAAACAGTTCGAATAAACAGATGAAGACGAAACATGGGAAGAGAAGGAGTGGACACCAGAGTTAATTGTTATTAACTGTGGTGTTAATTATGCTTCTTTGGGTACAGATCAATATAATATGCAAGTCAGAAGTATGAACTTGGGAGCTGTTCTTTTCATCACCCATGCTTGTGGAAGAACTAACTCTGGATTTAGTTTTTCGTTGTTTGGTTCTGTATCGGGAAGCATTCGAAAGCCATTTGGACCTTGAACAAGAATAAAATCTGGAGTTGATTCTTTTTTGTGTTGTGCTGTCAGTGTGGCCACGTAATTTGTTTCTGGACCTTTATCCGACTGTGATCTTTGTTGCAGATGGCTGTGGTGGCAGCGAGAGAGAAAGAATGAGACAAACTGAAAACAAATTAAACTCTGGACTCTGGAGGTAATTCTTTTATGGGGACTTCTCTTCTCTTCCTAAAGCTCTTTCACCTAGCTAGAATTAAAAGGATCTAAGCTCAAGAAGAAAAAAGAAAGACCACGAAAAAAGAGACACGGAAACAGACTGAAACATAATTATACCGGCATAGACCCCAGATAGCACTTCAAGAAAAGTTGGACATCATGGCAAGAGCGGGAGACAAGCTTGGGAGACATCCCACTCAAAGCCGGGAAAAGGATGGAAAAGGTAAACAAGACCTAAATCATCTTATAACAGCATCCGCGTCAAAGGCAGGCAAGAAAATGACAAGGCGGCAGCGGCAGCCAAGAGCGAAATCAGGAACAGAGACAAGCTTGGGAAACACGCCGGCAGCGGCAGCCAAGAGCGAAATCATAAAGGGAGACAAGCCGGCAGCGGCAGCCAAGAGCGAAGTTATGAAGGGAGACAAGCTTGAGAAACAAGACGGCAGCGGCAACCAAGAGCGAAATCATGAAGGGAGACAAGCTTGAGAAACAAGACGGCAGCGGCAACCAAGAGCGAAATCATGAAGGGAGACAAGCTTGAGAAACAAGACGGCAGCGGCAGCCAAAAGCGAAATCATGCATGGAGACAAGCTTGGGAAACAAGGCGGCAGCGGCAGCCAAGAGCGAAATTATAAAGAGAGAAGCTTGGGGAGACAAGGCGGCAGTGGCAGCCAAAAGCGAAATCATGAAGGGAGACCAGCTTGTCTCCGGCAGCCAAAAGAGTAGTCATGAAGGGAGACAAGCTGGAGAAACAAGACGGCAGCGGCAGCCAATTTCCACAATCCGGAACCCATCCAATGAGAAGTAAGAACCCCTATAGCTTCCAGCTATCTGGGGAATTAACTCCAGGGCTAATTCTTTTCAGGACTTCTTCCTCTCACCCTCTTCTCTTCCTAAACTTTTTTCACCTAGCTAGAAATTAAAGGATCTAAACGTCAAGAAGAAAAAGAAGCGAAAGAACGAGATAGACAAAGAAAAAAGACAAGGAGACGGATTGAAAAAGAATTAACTCCAGACTTAATCCTGTATTTGCACCACTGGCAAAGTTGATAGAATCAACTTCAGAGTTAGAATAGCGGTAAGAGCTAAAAAATTAATACTGTATTTTTTGTTTAAACTATTGTACTCAGCCGCTTCCAGAAACGCCGTCTAAAGGCTGTCAAGAGCTGCCTTGAGGCCTTCGCCAGTGCAGCAAAGAGCCATCAGACCAATTCTACAAGGCGTAGCCACAAACATGTAGTGAAGCATATTGCTTAGTTTCTGGCAGCAAAATTGTTGTTAGATGTTCAGGATGCCTGCCATTTTCTGAAATGTGCATAAAGAGATAACACAGTCCTACCAATGGTTTCCGATCAAGGTGGCAACTGAATTGTGAATTGTTTAGTGCAAGGGACCAGAGAATGGCTGGATGAGTGTTTTGGCTCAAGGTGTTTTTCAGGTACGCCGTGGTACCCCTACGGTTGTTGTGTTGGTTTGTTTTGTAAGCTGCTTCACTTGCTCCTACTCTTCTAAATGCATGCTTGCTTGTTCATTGTCTACTTGCGCTTCCCTTGCTCCCCTAATCAAATGTTCTCTTGCGCAATTCCTACTTGTTTTTGACTTGCCCATGCTTGCTTTTGCGTGAACTAAGGATATGTGTCCTTTCCTTATTATACTTGCAATGTGTCTACATTGCCCTACTTCGCGCATATGTATGCAATTTTTCATCTCCTGTGCTGTTGTCCTTTGTTTTTTCATTCAACTCATTGCAACTCGCAGATCGTTGCAACAACACTTCTGCAATCTGGTGGGACCCAATGAGAGTGTCGATGCGAAGAGTCCGACTGCCGTGCCTAGACTTTGGCCTCAACGACAAGAAAAATCATATAGAATGAGTTAAAGGAAGCTCAAAAAAGAAACACCAATAGCTAATATTTAACATATTAAAGAAAATAAAGGCGGCATACATTTTTCTGTCTCGTATTCGGTGGATACATTTCTGCAGTTTCATAGCGTTTTGACTTTGGTTTGAAACCATCCTTCAATGAGCCAATGCGGAGGCCGAGATGTCATTGTCCAATCTCAGAGTGGCACAGGCAGCTGGAAAGGTTTGTTGTGCAACATCAAAGTTTCTCACATTCTTGATGCGTTGGTTCTTTGCAGTATGTTTATTGGTACACTGCTTCCTGAGGCAAGACCTCGGTTTTTTGCTTGGGAGCTCTACAGGCTGTTGATGTTTCACGGATGGACCCCCAGGTGGGGAGGACTGCCATTGCTTTTAGGTTGGAGGCCATCGCTACTGGGAGCAAGGACGCTACTAGGGGCTCCTGGCATCGCTACTAGGAGCAAGAAGCTACGAACGTAACATGAAGGCTACTAGGTTCTATTAGGTTGGCAAGTGTTCAGGCCGACAGGTTCACTGTGACTGCGCTCAGGCTATTTTGCTTTCACCCACAAGGGAGCTCGCCGTTCAAAGTGCCAAGGTGCCTGAGTTGCAGCATCACCTATTCGAGGTCACTGAAGATACTGAGTTTTTACTATGAATCAAGGTACAGTATGCAGGACACTCAAATAGAAGTCAAAGTCGTGAGGGACTTGCATTTCCAGTTTGTTTTGCTTTGTTTGCTCCCTTTTTTGCAATCCTAGATACTGTAATCCAAGGTTTGCTTGGCATTGGGAGACTATTTGAACTGCAAGATACATACATGCTTGGGTGGAAAGAATGTCAAGGAAGGCATCAAAGCCATCCAAGCAGGCAGCGGCAGCAATCACAGAGCAGTTCCGTTGCATACACGCAATCCTAAGAAAAATGTCGGCTGAGCCAGATGTTCGGTATTTTGCTGGGATTTCCGATTTGCGATTTTGTGTCAAGCACTTAAGCACTGCTTCTTCTCTTTTTCCTTATCCTTCTCCTTCCCCTGCCGTCTACGCACTCACAGTGTGCCCTCAGCGCCCTCAGCCCTGGCTACATCTGGACATCACCTGAACCCAACAGCAGTCTCTTGCTTCCTTTTTGATACTTGTTATTAGTGAGGGAATCCTGCCTAATAATAATGGGAATGGCCTCCAACCTACTTGAAAAAATGTGGTCACTCCCCTCATCGCGACACAAGCTATCGGACATCGCATCACCCAATTGCAAATCGCTAGACATCGCATCACCACTTTGCACTGCAACAAGAAGCTACTAGGGGCTCCTGGCCATACTACTAGGAGCAAGAAGCTACTAGGAACCCGGGCATCGCTACTAGGAGCAAGAATGCTACTAGTAGCGATGCCAGGAGCCCCCAGTAGCGTCCTTGCTCCTGGTAGTAAGGCCAGGAGCCCCTAGTAGCTTCTTGTAACTAGTCTTTGCACATGATCACCTTACTTACAGTACTTCTACCAATTCGAACATCATCATGTACCACTTCACCACTTGCACTTCACCTCAGAGCATCCCAAAGTTATTCTTTGAGGTTTGGCATCATTCTATGTGTCATGTGTTGATACTTGTGTTGTACGATACAGGCAAGATAGAAGTCTAGAATGTATGCAACATAGACACAATGATGCTCATTGCATACTCACTGCAGACTGGTTCCAACTGAATGACTGATCTGCTCATCGGACATGTTCATTTCTTGGCGCCAGGTGTTCACATTATTTCTGGTACTCCTGGTAGAGCAGAGTTCTCAAAGACAAACTCAAAAGGACAGCTAACTGAAAGCGTTCCAAGTTAGGTTTCACGCTTTCTGTCAAATCGAACTAAATCTTGGAGGCCATCGCTATGGTTGGAGGCCATTGCTAGTAGGTGGGTGGCTGGAAGTATATTGCTATATTCGCAGCCTGAGGTGCTGAGCATGATACGGCAGCAACATCTACCTGTTCCTTGGCGGCGCGCTCTTGAGTGAAGGTGATGCCAGTGATGGAGCTGGAGTTCTTGTGATTCATCCGTGCTTCCTTTGTTATTTGTTTTGTCAAGAGCAGTTTCTGATTTTTCAATCCAATTAGTTTGTTGCTTCAAGGTGAAGCGCATGAAGATCCTTGTTCTCGATGAAGCTGATGAAATGTTCAGCAAGGGATTCAAAGAGCAGGACTGACAGTGACCGTGGGTGGTTGGTGACGGTCGGTGATGCTTGCAGTGTTGCTCTCTGAATCGTGGTGCCAATGCCGAGCAAGAGAATGCTTCCGTGAGTGACGTTCATCTGCGCAAGCGGTTCTTTTTTTTCCAGGAAATGTCCCTTGCTATTAGGTTGGAGGCCATTGCTAGTAGTTTGGAGGCTTCCTTTCCGAGAAGTCGGAGTGAGGTATTCCAGACCGAAGGACGAGATGCGTTAAAGCGCAAAAACTATAATTGTTTGTCATATATTATATAGATCAAAGATCAAAGCAATCGTTGCAACTAAATCAATCGATTCCGATTTTTAATAATCTTATCAGGTTGTGTGTTTTTTTTTTTTTCAGTTGAATGCCTGATTCTGTAAAGACGCGCAGGCATTCAAACAATGTCAATATTTTGATCGGTCTCGGGGATGGAACATGATGGAGCATTTTGTACTTTTTCTTTGGACCTTTCTCTTCTCTTTGCAGGCCTTTCTTGCCTTGAGGTGTCCTTTAAATTCCTATAACAGTGTCCTGTTATTTTCTTTAGACCTAGGGACGTTCTTTTTCCTTTCCTTTCGTTGTTCCTTTCCTTTTAGACTTAGGCCCTAGCTGGCTCATCAGACCACAAGGCTATATTTGGTTTCGGGTCATTAGCCCTCGGATCCTTCTCCCTTTGCGACTTGGGTTGGGTTAGACAGTTTGGGTGAGTCATGTTGCAAGATGCCCTTGATGCCCTTGTTACTAGTCAGTTAAGCTGTGGTGCGTGAATTTTGCCTCACCCATCGCTTCACGATGTTCGCCTCTAAAGAATGCACTGGATCAAACTCAAAAGGGGATGACAAGTGCGTGTGATGGGGGGCCTGGGGTGAGGGACTTCCTCGAATTGGATTTCCTGTTGGCGACAGTAAGGCCATTCATCAAGCACTACTCTGCAAACAGAAAGGAAGAGACAAGGAAACAAGAAAACAAAGAAATACAGAAGGACAGAAGTTGTTAAAGGGTCTAAAGAAACAAGTACATCCGTTGTTTTGTTTTGTACCCTGAGACCTGGTTTCAATGTTTGATGTCTTTTGGGGTTCATATTATAAGCGAGAGACCATGATGAGGGGCAAGTCTAAGACCAAGTCAGAATAGCTTTTGTACAACTTTTGAAAAGAAGCTTGTGTCGTTTCAACTAGGTTTATGGAACATCCAAAACTTGAGTCGACAGGTCTATGGCATCAAACGTCTACTACCTTTGCTTCAGATAGTCCTGGTCTCGGCCACTTTGCCACCTGAGGCGATTGAGACTGTCGAGACTGTCCGTTTATGCAGTAATTGCACCTACTAGCGATGGCCTCCACCCTAGTAATGATGGCCTCCAATCTACCAGCGATGGCCTGCAACATAGCGATGGCCTCCTATTCCTTGGGGACTTCACTACCTACTTTGAACGTTTTGAACAAAACCGCTACCTAGAATTCTCTCTTCATCCTTCCGTTTCATCCTATTGGGTTAGTTTGCAAGTTTACCTCCAGGAACTGCCAACACAGGTTCCAAACAGAAAAGTCCTTGTTATGGTGTTTCGGATTCATGGTCAATGGCTATAAATTGTGCAACATTAATGGTAATTTCTACTCAAGGGACCTCCAGCACATTTGATTTTGCCCACTTTGGAAACGGAGTAGAGTAAAATCGGACAGAAGCAAGTTTGCTCCAATGAAGGAGCATTTGAACAGAATGCTTTATCAAGGCCGTTGTATTTTTCAAGGCCGTGTGGGCCACGTGTGGCGCCAGGTGCTGGAGTTGACGACGGAGTTCATGAGAAAACCCTTCCGCCTTCTTGTGAAGCGACAGGAACTCTCGCTGCAAGGCATCCAGCAGTTCTACGTGGCAGTTCACAAGGAGACACGGACGAGTAAACTCAGAAATACGATAGACTGGCACAGACAAAACTTAAAGAATTGAGAGCACAGACAAAACTTAAAGAATTGAGATTGTTCTTGGACAAAAAAGATGCACCCAAAGTGTACCGTATTTCTGGTCAAGAAGGTCAAGAACAAAGAACACCCTACAGAAGGAGCGGTCGATCATCGCGTTACCCTGAAGGACAAGACACCTGCCCCCCAAAAAGGACACATCAACTTTGAAAAGGATTTAGGAAAGAACAAAACCAAACAGGAAGAGAGAATTGCTTGTATCCAGGGATGTATGTTTGAGCTGAACGTTTTGGGGTCCGGCAGGCTCAGAAACAGAGGCCAAAGACAGCAGATGTATCACTGTCGAATTTGGGTCGGCTTCTGCGAGGAGCAATGGAAGTTCGACACATTGTGTGACATTTTTGATTCTGTAGCAATCACACAAGCCGTCATTTTCTGCATCTTGGCTTCATATTGAAACTGTCCGTTCTTTGAAACTTTCCTCACGTGTGTTTTAGTCCAATGATCTTGGTACATTTGTTCGACCACGTGAGGCAATAACCGCAAGAAAGTGGACTGGCTGGCGAAAAAGATGAGAGAAAACAATTTTCCCATTTCTGCCATCCACGGCGACATGCTGCAGAAGGCATTGTGCACGAGCTCAAGCCAAAGCAGATGGAACGATGGAAGTGTGACGGTTTGAACCCTTTTCGAAAAATGCTTGAGCCTTGTAGAATAAGAGTAGGAACAAAGTGCATCGCTACTAGTAACAAGAAGCTACTAGGGGCTCCTGGCCGTACTACTAGTAGCAAGAAGCTAGTGAAGAGCACTTCGATTCGTTGAGCAAAGAGAACACTTCCCGTTCGTTGTTCGAAGGTTCTTTTGATTGGCTGCGCCAGGATCGAGATGCTGTAATTGAGGCTTTTCGAGAAGGTCGTTCGAGGCAGAAAGTGGGAAAAGAACTCACATGTGTTCTCTGTATTTCTCTGTGTTTTGCATGTAGAAACATGATGAAACATGTGATGTGTGTTTTTGCATTTCTTGCCTTCTTTTACTGCGTGTTTCTGTTCTTTATACCCGTGGACCTTTGAGGGTACATGAAGTTGCAAACAGAAAGACACGGATTCAATGAAACGAAGCATTAATATTCAAAATGCTTCGTTTATTTAAACCATTACTCAATTCGCAGTACTGTATCTTAAAATATAGGAACCGTTTCCATGGGTTTTTGTGTGGTTGCATCAGGTAACTTTTGAACTATTTACCCGACCGTCTTGATAGGTTGCACTTTAGAACTGGTAGTTTTGGTTGAAAACGAGGTAAAACAAGGAAATCGTGTAAATTTCTCAATCAGGGATCTTCCCGTCCATTTGCCCGACCTCGCGCCTTCAGCTTGTGCTTGTCATCGGCCTGACACAGTCAGGGGGTTTGAGCTCTCCGACTCAATCGACCTTGCGACACATGTTAGCTCCTGGCCTTACCTAGGAGCAAGTGCCACGCTACTAGGAACAAGTGCATCGCTTCTAGTAACAAGTGCCTTACTAGTAGTAACAATGTTCGCTACTAGGGGCTCCTTGCATCGCTACTAGGAACAAGAAGCTCTTGTGAACGAAGGTCTTCAGTGTTTGCCAGTCTCTATCTATTTCTTGCGTTCCCGCGACGCGACTTGCACTTGCTCTTGATAGCTTTGGTGAACTGTTTTCTTTGGTGCTTTTCCTGTAACAGCCTCCACTTCCGAGCTTTACAGATATGTTTCCAGATATTCATCACATGTGAATCATTGCGCCACAAACCCTAACTTATTACCTCTATTACTATAACATAGATGTCCAACTCTTTTGGCTGGTGGTTCCCTCCCGCGCATGCAGCACAAAAGCACCAGTCGACCTGGCAAGCCAGAAAGTACGGAACCGGACTTCCGGACGTCCAAATCGTGGAATCAGATGGAAGCTTCTCGTCCGAACGAGCTTCTCGGCATCAGCGGTCTGTGAGCATCCCACACTCATCCGGCGGCTTCCAAGGCCAACATGCTTCTAGCACAGCTGTCACAAGGCACAGATCCCAGGCTTGCAAGAGAGGAATACATCAACAAAGCTCCCGATTGCGCCGTGGAGCTACCGCGCATCGTTAGCTGCTTGCCGCACCCACTGAGCTCAGACGGAGAAGCAAAGTTTGGATCGTAAGGGCAAAGCAGCAAAAAGCAGCAAAACCTCGCTAGTAGTAACAGGTGCATCGCTAATAGTAACAAGTGCCTTACTAGTAGTAACAAGAAGCTACTAGGAACAAGTGCATCGCTACTAGGAACAGGTGCCTTACTACTAGAAACAAGAATGCAAGCACAAACCGACTCATCACCGGAGTGCAGGAAACGTCCATTCGGTCCCATGAGCACAGCCAGCAACCAAATCCGGCAGGTCTTGGAGGCCATCGCTGGCATCAAAGGGCCGATATAAACTGTGAAGTACGCGATGGCCTCCAACCTACTAGCCTTCTTGCTCGTAGTAGTAAGGCCAGGAGCCCCTAGTAGCTTCTTGTTCCTACTAGGGAACATGTTGGCCCCCAAAGACGGCAGGCCCCTGTTTAGTCAAACATGCATTCACATCACATGGTGTCACATGGTGCCCCCCAAAAGCCCCCGTGCAACTCTGGAAAATGGCAAACATTATGCCCCCAAATCCTCCCACCGCGAAAACCCAATTGTTGAACAGAAACCAGCGCTGTGAGCGTGTGTATTTTTCAGTGTTTCTTATGCAGAGGAACATCTAAAAGTTTTAAGTATTTCCTATGCACGGGAGAATATGCACGCGAACTGAGGCAGCTCATTGCCACTGACCTGTTGGGCCGCGGCTTGGACGTCCAGCAGGCACTGGAATCACTCCAAAGCACAACGAGTTGTGTGTGTGTTATTTGGTTTACTTGCATGTTATTGAAGTTTGAGGTGACACTTGTGATTAACTACGACGTCCCCACAAGCCGAGAGAAACTCGGAATTAATCTGCAGGAAGGTTGTGTTGTTTGCAATTGAGTCTTCTTGAGGTTCTATTTGCATCGCATTGGCCGATCTGGCCGCTTTGGCAGAAAGGGTGTCGCTGTGAACTTTGTCAGGACTGGTGACACGGTTACTGACGTGACATGAAAAGTGAGTGCGGCGCTAGCTGCTCCAGCTGCTCCATGTGTCGACTTCCCATCAGGACCGAAGACGAGGCTTTGATTGCAGACCTTGAAAAGTTCTACTCGATCTCCATCAAGGCACTACTCGGGCTTTGTTGCTTCTCGCTCCAATTCTAATTGAATTCTGTTGAAGTATAAAGTAAACATTAATTCTAATTCTGCGTTATTATTGTTTCTAACCTTCTTGTTCCTAGTAGTAAGGCCAGGAGCCCCTAGTAGCGTCCTTGCTCCTAGTAGCGATGCCTGCAGCCCCTAGGCCCTAGGATATTGGAAAGATTACATCCGTAAAGATTGTAAGAGAAGGTTCTTTGGAACCCTCAATTGCCTTCCCGTTGAACTATCAGAACTCCGAAGGAAAAGAAGGGAGCAACGAAGGGAAAGAAGAAAAACACAGGTCCAAAGAAAAACAAACACTTAGCAAACACTTTCTAGCTGCGATTGTTTGGTGTGACTCCAGGAACTGCCAGCCAACTTTGCGGCAATCCTGCGATGAGCAGCAAACCTGAAGAGCGTTTTAAGAGGCTGTTGCAAAGCGTTGCCAGCTGCTCTTCTGATAATGCACCTTTAGACTGAGGGGACGACAAAGTGTTTGGAACATTCACTTATGTCTCTTGTTCAAGCGCGTTCACCCTTGGCGCCCTCGGCCAAAAAACATTTGTCCGTTTTGGAAACAGATGGGATGTTTGGTGATTGTTGTTCTCTTGATGTTCAGGTTGAGCGTGTTTGAAAGGGTCGTTTTGGAGGCTTTTCTCTTTAGGTTGGTTACTAGTAGTAAGAATGCTCCTAGTAGCGATGCCAGGAGCCCCTAGTAGCGTCCTTGCTCCTAGTAGTAAGGCCAGGAGCCCCTAGTAGCTTCTTGTTTCTAATTAGCTTTACATGTTTCAGATGGTTTCAGATGAAAGCACATCGCTGACATTTAGACACGGGTCCACGCGGCCACGGGGGTGGTGTTGGGTCCATTTTCGAGGCGGGGTCGATGAAGTCGTCAGAGAGAGTCTAAAGCTTGAAAGGTCTAAAGAAAGTAAGAAGATGAACAAAAATTGAATTTGCAGGGTGTTGTTTTCTGTTTCAATCATGTTTTGTAATGAAGAACGTGTAAGCCGCTCACAGTCTTGGGTTGTGGTCAGTGCTTTTTGTATCTATTTGAGGCCGATGCCATGGAGGGAGGCAGAGCCTTGTTTGCAATCCTCGAGGCACTAGCTCGACCCTCACTACTTACAGTAGACACCTTGACAGCAAGTCTGTTTATAAAGTACAAATATAGTAATATAGACATATGTTATATAGTTTTCTTTGGACCTAGATTTTTTCAATTGACTACGCGTTCACGTCGATGATTTTCTCTCCGCGCCTTGGTGTGCTTTTTGTGTGGCTTAGTTTCACGCTTCGCGGCAAGGTGCCATGGATCTAAGACACCCAAACCCAATCATGATCTACCCAAAACACTAGCCACTAGTTGGCCTCCAACCTACTAGCGATGGAGGGATAATGAATCAAAAGATCAGCTGATTGTTGTGCCATCAGAAACTTCCTGTCTAGGCAAGCATGACATTGGAAGAAGTACAGCGGCACGAAACATTATCCATTCCAGGGACGGCAAATCGGGAGATCATAATTTCCAGAACGTGGATTACGAATTGGATTTGCTCAGGCATTGCCAGCTAAAAAGCAAATGGAACAACAACTTTAGAACAGGTCGCTCAAGCCCAACGCAGCTTTTCTACGACTGCAGCAAGGTATTAAATGCCTAGCTTTCGTCCCCCTTGGGACTCTTCAGGGCTTTGTAGCCGCAAATGCTGTGGTGTTCAATCACATGCCTAGGCATCGCGCATTCAATAACCTAGGCAAGTGCAAACTGGACATGAAAATAAAATTTTGGTCCCTCCCACAGCCAAACCCTTAGACCAAAAATTTCCAAACTTGCTTGTACCGACTTTGGAACAAACTGCGCCCAACACTCCTCCAGCTTGTGGTGAGTTTCAATGCTGGAACACTTTGGCGCAGCAATGGCTCAAATTGTCGGAGCTTTTGGGAAACCCAACTGGCAGATAAGATATGTCTTTGTTGTATGGCAGCTTCAAAAAGGCTTTCCGTACCAAACCAGGTGCAGCATGCCTTCTCATCCGCTTTGCTCTGTAGCGAGCTAACAAACGCTCAAAGCCAGCAAGGTCAAAGCCCCTATCTTTCAAACGACGCTTGAAAGACCGAATGCTTGCAGCATAGTCAGAAAGAAGACGGTTCCGCCTTTCACATATAATCGCTCCTCCTAGTGCAGGCTTGCAAAAGTACTGGCAGGCCGATTCGAAAAAGCCGGATTGGAACAATGGAAAACAATTGACTTGAACATAGAAAGACCTGAATTCGAGGTGGCTGCAAGTGCCACCTTTATGGCATCCAGGCAATGCAAGACTTTAGCGCCAGCACAAACCCACAAAATAATATGTTGGATCTTTTGTAAAGACCGTGGATTTGAAAAAAATGAAATGCTATTAGGTTGGAGGCCATCGCTAGTAAGTTGGAGGCCATCACTAGTAGGTTGGAGGCAGTTGCTCTGTTGAGTTGGTTTCTGGCTCTCCAGTCTCAAAGTTTGGCAAAATTTGTTCATCCATGGATGGGGCTTTTAGGACCTAGACGATCCTCTTTTGATACACTTTGTGGAGTGATGGAGTAGTTGGCCAAATTTTTTCAGGAGGAGAAAACCTCTTAGCATTCGTGTTTGCCGAAGTGTCGTAGTAATCTTTTGCCACTTGTCCTACTTTGTCAAAGTACTTTGTCGTACTGGTCACTTGCTAATTTATGACTAGGTGTGGGAGCTTCACTGTGAACCATTTGCATGAATGAGAATGATACGATTTGGATCAAACAGACTGTCTGAAGAATAAAACACATTTAAAAACCCAAGGCAAACAATCAAGACAAGGAGAAGAAAGGCATGCAGACTTGTGCGCCAACCATGGTCCGGGCATTGAATTCAATGCATGTATGACGACACTGTGGCTCAAGGGTCAGTCAAAAGGCGCGAGGCTCGGGCGCTGCGGTTTGGGGCGATCGGTCATGCGGTTTCTCATTGAACTTGCTGTTGCGCCCTCAAGCCCCGTGTTCTCGGGGTTATCAGCGTATAGGCTTATTCGGACATCAGAGGCCATCCTATCTGCTAGGAAGCGGGTGCCGCCCTGTGGTGTCATTCACGTCAACCGCTACTCTATCTCCTAGGACGGCTTCTATTGACGCTCTTGCTTGGACCAACACATTCGCGTTACTGAACTGCGGCTCGCGAGCATTTGGTAGAATTAAAGGGAGTGCAGAAAGGAGCTTAAAGGGCACCACGTCAGGATTTGAAGCTCAAGATAGATCCGAAACCAATTGAAGCTAACTCGGAGCAATGTCGAAGCAGTCATAGGCATGAGTCAAAGATCTCACATTCTGCCCAATCGATCCCAGTTGCCCAACCACTGGGAGTATCTTCTGAATCGTTGACTAGCCCTGAACAGGTCAGGCCGGCATCAAATGGCTCCGCTCGGCCAGGGTCTAGAAAGCCCACCAACACTGTCAGATTTCACTCACCTGTTGCGAGTTTAGATGCACAGGTTTCACTGGGGTCGCCTGGTCAGCCGAGTGGTTTGCATTCGCACGATGGTCCTACAGTGTTTCAACAAAATGTAACGCAGGAGTCACATGAACACCGGCATTTGCATGCTCACAGGATCCCTTTGTTTTAGCGCAGGCCCAGAGTACAGTGAACCAAGCTAGGGACCCTTGGAGATGAAGCTGTTAACTTTGCAAACACAACTAGGCAAGAAGCCTCTAGTGAGATCCTACTGGCCCAGCATCAAGCCGAAGAGTTTGCGCGAACCGCCGTCCAAGAAGCTTCTAGCAAGATCCAGAGGGTCCAGGAAGAAGCCCGGGAAAGTGTTGAGGATGGTAGGGCTGCGACCCAGAAGCTTTTTTAGAGGGTCAGCCAATTCAGGGCGAAGCCAGGGAGGAAGTGGAAATGGCTAGAAATTCGACCTTGCAGGAAGCCGACCAAAAAGTCCAGCGGAAGTCGATGAAGCCCATGCCCAGTCTACTCTAGAGGTGGATCAGGCAAGGGCCCAAGCCCAAGCAAATGTTCAGGAAATTTTGGGACAAACCCATTCGCGCATTTCAGCCTTGGAAGATCAACTCAAAGAGGTAATCAAGGTTAATGAAATGTTGCAATCCAATGTTCAGGCCAAGGATCAGAGGATTCGTCAGCAAGCAGCCATGATTGAGAGGTCACTCCAGAAACTCGAGACCAGCCTGCCTACGAATGGCGCGGATCAGTTATATATCGGCAGTCTTAAGGAAACAAGGACAGCGTTTATCCACCTTGATTGACGCCAATGTCCGAGAGCTTAGTGCCAAAGCACTGCAGCCAGAAGCACTTGCGAAGCAGAATCATTAGTCTTGACGCAGGCTTGTTCGGCGAGGCGCTACCGATGCAAGAACTTGCCGAAATGATTTTAGATAGGCCAGGAAAATCTGACTTGTGCGCAGGACAACGCGTCAGTGATCCAAATCGTTCATGTGGGCTACTCAGCAAAGCTTAGGCGCATGAAGAAAGCTCATAAATTGAACCTCTCAAGCTTGTATGAAGCGGTCGAGGGGAGAAGGAAGGAATGCAGACTTGTGCACCAACCATGGTTGGGGCATTGAATTCAATGAATGTAAGACGACGCTTTGGCTCAAGAGTCAGTAAGCTCGGGCACTGCGGTTTGGGGCGATCGGTCGCGCGGTTCCCATTGAACTTGCTGTTGCGACCGTGAACCTCGTGTTGTGGGCTTTTTGGCTGTGTCCTTGTTGGCAGCGCGTAGGGCAGGGTTGATGAATTCTCGGCCCAGGCGCCGATAGTTTTAGATTGCGGCATAGAAAATATTCTTGCGTCGGCTGGTAGCCCAGGGCTGAGGGCCGAGGGGCATGCCGTGGTGGTTGGTTGCCCAGGGTATCGGACCCCGTGAAATGGGTTTGGCACGGAGCCCAGGGCTGAAGGCCTTAAAGATTGGACGTTCTCGGCAAAGTGAAAATGCTGGAAAATGTCACAACAGCGTGCTTTGGCGAGACATCACTGTGCACTCAAACTCCTTCCTTCGTGTTGAGCAAATCAGCCAGCCAGCGAGCTCTGAAGCAACACTGACAAGTGTTGATCAGTTCAATTCTAGGTCCAAAGAGACCAGTGAGCCGTTGCTGTTTTGAATGAATCAGCACTTTTCTTGACATCATCGCATTGACATTGCAGTCCAAAGGAAAGTTCCTTTGGGACCACCATCTCCTAGTTCCTATGTTTCCTTTATCTGCTTATCCTTCCTGTTCTTGGTTCGTGGATGCTTCGAGCTGAGCATGTGTTGGAGCTGGTTAAGAAATGATCAATCCTTTTTGAACCGTGCCAACGCTATGCCACTGCCGTGCCAGCTTTGCATTCGTGAGCAAGCGATCAAAGACTGTTCATCGCATCTTTGTTGCCAGATCTCAACACGTTTGCCGTCCTTTACTTGTTTTCATCAGGATCCGTTTCTCCTTTTTTTGTTCGCTTGCTTGCTTGTGAGTTTCGTTTTCACATGTGTCTTTAATTCATGAGGAAAAACCAAGAACCTTGATGAATCCAATTCTGTCTAGTGGACCGATTTTTGCAGAACATATCAGAATCCTATCAAAGATCTGAGGTACCCTGAGTTGTTCAAACTTTCTTCCAACCACTCACATGTCCCTTGTTCATATGGTAGCTGTGGTAGGTGAAAAACGCAGATAATTTGTCCGTGTCCAATCGTTATTGATTCAGACCGACTTGCCCAACTTGTTGACTGCAATTGGGTCAAATCACATGTCCATCCGGATGCTAGACCAATTGACAAAAGGTCCTGTTCTATCACAACGCATTTTTTGGATTTCTGCATTGCGTCTTGCCGAGGAATGGAGCTGGAATGCACGATGGATGAGCAGGAGAATGAACAAAAGAGTGTTTCTAAGCTTTGAGGATCGAAAAGCAAGCGTTTGAAGAACTAGAACTTGTTGTGTTCCAATAAAAAGGTTTCTTTGTTCAACTCAACCAAAGGATGTTAAGTTAAGTGTTCCTTTCTTCTGGTAACAATTACGCTAGCCGTAGCATGCCGTAGCCAAAAACGAAGATTCAAAGATCGGACTTCACTGCCCTTTTCCTATGAAAAGAAGCGCTATTTGCAACGCCTTAGCAGTGGTGCACATTCGCTGTAAAAGTTAGTGCATACAAGATGAACATCGTCAATTCCAAAAGATCATCCCATCATTGTTGCAGGATGTGGTCGTCCTGGATGCTGGATCTGGGTTCTTGAAGGCAGATAATTCGATATATTCAAGTCCATAGGCGTCTCAAGACGTTCACAATGAATCAAAGCTTTCAACTAGAACCCGACCAATGTTGTTCCCAATATGACCACATGTTGTTCGATCAAAGGTCGGCTTCTGTGGAGAAGATGCTCCTCGAGCTGTGCTTCCAACTGTGATGGCCACTGCAACGGTGCGCTGACGAAGCATCACAGATAGATCTCTGCAGAATATATTTGTTTTTACATGATGTTTCGGCCGCCTTGAATGCCTTGCTTGCTTCTGTGATTCACTTCTTGTCGCTTCGAGAAAAAAGCAACCTGTGAGGCAGACGAGAACAGAGAGGATGAAGCAACTGCCGTTGGGAACCGAGCGGGAGCCCAGCAGAGCCAGCTCTTCAGAGCGAGCTGTGAGGTCTCTGGTGATGCGCAAAAGAAGAGCCTCTTGGCTGAAAAAGTCAGGAAGAAAGAATATTTAAGAAAAGGTCTGTAAATATAAAGGAATCAGAACAAGTAAACGAAAAAGAGAAAAGAAGGGAATGAATGAAGTGAGACCTGAATCTTGTAGCGCAACTTGAGGCCAAGTCTTCTACGGTGACGAAGCGGTACTGCAGGAGCGGATTGCCCTTCCGTAACGAACATCGGAACTGAAAGCCGAGTTGCCAGTTTTGCAGCTATTTTGCAGCCATTTGCCAAGCCGGTTTTCGTTTGGACAGGTGTTGTTCGATTCGGAGTCTTCTTGGCAAGAACAGAAATGTCTTGGAAGATGCGGAAAGACATATCTTGGAGCCGCTGCTGTTGGGTGGAAGAAAGAGGAAGGACGAAAGACAAAGCAATTAGAGATGCACAAGGAAGTAAAGAACAACAACACTTTTGAGTGTCCCAATACTTGTTATTCTTTAGGTTTGTTTACGTTTGGCACGCCAACCATAGATACAAGGAGCCAAAAGAACTGTTTAAAGCAAAACAAAAGCAAAAGTAAAGCAAACAAAAAAACAAAAACATGTAGCTGTGCGTGTTTGTCATGTTTTTCACTTTTTTCCCGCTATATTTTCACATTTAGGAGCGTACAGCGAATATTGCTGACGGGTAAAAGTTCTCATAAGTGCAGAAGTGGCACCGGGAAAAAAGCAAAAAAACAAAACAAATGCAACAACAATGCAAATTGCTCGGCTTTTGCATGTTCATTTGCTTTTGTTTTGTTTTTTTTGCCTTTTTTCACCAACAAATTATTTGATGGTTGGCCGTGTATTCGCTGAACAGAACTTTAGGTTTTGCTGAACTTCAAAGAAATAAAGCCGAAGAGTTCATTCTTATTCTGCTGTTTTGTGACAAAACTACTTCATAAATAACGTTGAATTCTTGCCGCAAGCGTATTGACATCCCCCAAAGCAGACCAAAAGCCCTAGAATGTGTAGAAAGTGGAAACGCAAAAGCGGCAACATTGGAATGTGTAGCTAGATAGAAGCTACTATATAGTAACAAGGGCATGAATTCAAGCTCTTGAGCCTTTTCTTGATGCAAAGGTACTGAGTGTCAGGACTTGAACCTTTAATAAGGAGCAGTGGTTGACGACACCTACACTTGCTGAGTTCAACAACATTCAGTTCAAACAAGTGGTTGACAGGTAGTCACGGCCGAATGTGTTTATGATGAGAGTAGTAAGAACCAACACCTAACCCCATTCAAGATGTATTTCACAAGTACAAGTAGTAGTAGTAGTAGTAGTAGTAGTAGTAGTCGTTGTCGTTGTCGTTGTCGTAGTCGTAGTCGTAGTCGTCGTGGTGGTAGTGGTAGTGGCAGAGGCAGAGGCAGTGGCAGTGGTAGTGGTAGTGGTAAGAAGACCAAGACAGAAACTTTTTGAGAAGCAGTTGTGAAAGTGTTCTTGTGCAACTAGAGCCTTGATAGCGAGGAGAATGCTGTCATTACTCGCCCAGTACAGAGGGGAGAGCTCCAACTTGCAGCCGCAGAGAAGGTGCACTGAAGTCAGTTTGAGGGTTTAGAGTTTTAAGAATTCGACTGGAATCATAAACTCTATTTTGCAAAGAACCCAATGGTGGCCAAAGTTTAGCGTTTGTGTTGTGCTGCTTCGTCAAAGACTATGTTGCCAAGGGCAACACAGCCAAAGATTTGTGTTCCAGACCCGAAAGGATGCTATGGAGAACTTGCTCGAGCATGTCTTTCGAAATGTGCTTAGTGTTGAGCAGGAGGACAGCAAACCGAGCGGTATTGGGCAATGGTTGTCCAAACTGGGCAATGAAATTTGAGGCTTTCGACAAAGTGCCACGCTGCCATTCTTGCAAGAAAGAACGCTTGTAAGGCTGTCAGATGTCAGGAATTGGCAACCTGAAAGGTATGGAAAAGGGTTTTGTTAAGGGGAAGCGGGGTGACGTCCAACAAAACAACAAAAGAGAACACACATCAGAAGTGTCTTTTTGAGTTCATTTTTTCTCAAGAATTAATATGTCAAATTGCTCTGAGGAAGACAGGAGGTAATAAATAATGATGGAACCAATAAGTTAAATGAAAACACTACCCAGATTTGACGCTCGAACTTCAACTCTGTTCCAGGATTTGCCTTGCCTCATTGCTGACACCATGCCACTGGGCCAAGGCATTTGGCGGGCAAAGCACAAAAGCAAAGATAAACACAAGTTCTTGTATTTCCAGTCTTCAAACCACGTTGAAAGAGTCAGAGTCCAAGGACAATCTATCAACAGCACGCATTTGTCCAGCGTCCTTTCCATTTTGAGCTGAACTGTTCTATTTTGGTTTTTGAACATCTCCCGCTGAAGTTCTGGTCGCTGCGCATCGCTACTGTGATAGGTTCTTATGCCACACGCCAGTGGATGGCAGAGGTTCGCCACCTCTTTCGATATCTCGAATTGTGTAAAGCCAAAGAAAGGCAAGACAAAGGACCCAAGAAGACCCAAGCCCAATGGTGAGAAAAGATCAGAACAACAAACGGCTCGCTTGTTCATGTCCTAAAATGGTTTTGCCAACAGAGCGGTCACGATATGCCAGGTGATGTTTGAGAAAATAAAGGTCAAGTCACTTGCCATCTTCAACACAGCGGTTTGTGCCTAAGAAGGGCGCGGAGAGACACTAAGAGCCAAGAGCTTTAAAGGCAAGTCTGGCATTCAAGAATGACTCTTAGGGTGCAGGCCGTCGCTAGTAGATGGAGGCCATCGCTATTAGGGTGGAGGCCATCGCTACTAGGTTGGAGGCCATCGCTGGTAGGTTGAAGGCCATTGCTAGTAGGTTGGAGGCCATCGCTATTACGGTGGAGGCCATCGCTAGTAGGTGGAGGCGATCACTAGTAGGTTGCAGGCGCTAAAAGGTTGGAGGCCATCGCTAGTAGGTGGAGGCCATCGCTATTAGGTTGGAGGCCATCGCTAGTAGGTGGAGGCCATCGCTAGTAGGTGGAGGCCCCTACTAGTAGGTTGGAGGCCATCACTAGTAGGTTGGAGGCCATCGCTATTATTTGAATATAAGAAATTTAAGACTCAAGATACTCAAGAGACTTAAGTGCAAGTTGGAATTGCAGACGTGATGCTTAAATCGACTGGAACAGGCCTTGAGTTTGTTCTCAACTGGACGTTGGAAGCTTATGATTAGAGATGTCTTTAAAAATGCCTGTTGAGTTTCCAATGCTTGTATGTTTGGTCTTCTCCTGAACTTCTCAACGAGTGAATCTCTTCATTGATCCCTTTACAATATTATGTAGTGTTTTCTGCCTGATTTTCACTTCGCTTGCATTGTTTCTTCTTGTCATTCTGATTTGTCGTTTGAACAGTAGGCGAGTCGACGTTCTTTTGTCGCTCTGGGGTAGTAACATCCAGCGGCGTTCCTGCGGCACTACAGCGGCGTGCGCGGAAGAACGGGGCTAAAAGGTTGACAGCGATTGCTTTTGTAAAAGGTGAAGAGCATAGCCAAACATAGCAAATCCTTTCGGTTTGTTCATTTTTTGGGAAGAAGGCTTAGACATTCAATTGGACGGAGAGTTTGATCAAAACCTTTTCGGTGTACAGCACGGAGTGTATGTGATCCCTCCTGGCTTTCCTCAATATGAGAAGAATCACCACATCAACTCCACTCGTGCCGCCCTTATCTTCGTAGCATCACCAGTATACTCCATTGATCACCTTCGTAACATTCCTTCTCAGACTCCTCCAAAAGGCATGATAAATAGATACATGCATATAAATGCTAATCTGTGGAGCGTCATTACCTTTGTAGCAGCATCTCAAGAGCTTCACAGAACACACTCTTCACAGCAGCGTCCAAAGGATCTATTCGTTCCTAATCACTCTTTTCGTGTGTGGCTGAGGTTTCTTTGGAAAGACCTTTTTGCCAGTTCCCTTTCCGCTTTTCTGCCAGTGGAGAGTCCCCGTGTCAACCAACCCTGTTTGAATGAGACCCAAGTACGTGCAAGAACATGCGCTAGCAAATGTACTGCCGCTCAGTTGGCAGCCGAACAAGTGCTGTCAGTTGGCGGAACTTGATGGAAAGAGATCAAAAGACAACAGTTGCTGCACACCGGAACAGCAATAGGTTTGGTGTAACCTGCCTTGCCTTTGTTTTTTGTCTTGTGAAGTCTCAGGCCAAACTGTGGATGAAGGTTGATCTGGTCCCAGAACTTGGGGCTGAAACGTACAAAGAAGCACCTGCGCGGCAAAGTGTTGAACAGCAAGGCTGTGGCCAGAAAAAGGTTTATGTCACTAGGGTGGAGGCCGCTATCAGGTTGGAGGCCATCGCTAGTAGGTCAACACTACTAGGTTGGAGGCCATCGCTACTACGAGCACAGCAGTCCAAGTCAAACTCTGCGATGACACTTTGCATCAGCCAACCCAGTTGTCAAGTTGTCAAGTTGTCAAGCACCACTGAAGTGCCAAAGAAGAAGGGACCGTGGCAAGACCATTTGCTTAACTGTACAAAATAGAAGTTTGTTTTATTTTTATGCCTGCCACCAGCATGGTGCTCGTACCGGGCAGCCCTGCCAGACGGGGTTTCAGGCAGATTTCCAGTGGCGGTGACGACACCCGCCAGACCTGAGATCTCCTGCACTACAAACTGCAGACTGTCCTTTGTCACTTTTAGACTGCATAGCTGCACTTCAGCCAACACCTCGAACATCTCACGGTACACAATGACATCAAAAGACTAACTTTTTCCGCTTTCGCCAAATACTTTGTTTTTGCCGACTTGCGTAGATCGCAGGAACACCAACGCCAGATCTGCCAGAGTTTACGACGTCGCTTCTCGTACTGCGTGGGCAGGACAGCAAGACAGATTGTGCGCCCAATGACGACTCACTAAGACAGATCTCTTGCCTATCCGATAGTGCTGAACCCATCTCTATTGGTACAAGGCGAGTCGCACGCCCGAGACAGCAATGGCTTTGGTCGAACGAATCCATTCATCGTATCAGTCACACTGTAAAATGATGGAATATCCATGTTGATCAACTTCAGAATGCTCATATTTTGACGGGCACGAAATCGTATGGTTTAAGTCCTGGAAAAGCGCAAGAGATGGCATGGCAGCAGAAAATATACGCTGAACTGGCATGAGGTGTCAGGAATTCAGAACAAGATTTTCTTTAGACTACTAACAAGAAGCTACTAGGAACAAAGGGCATCGCTACTAGGAGCAAGGACGCTACTAGGGGCTCCTGGACTTACTACTATTAACAAGAAGCTCGTTATTCCTTTCAGACCTTTCCGTTTCAGTTTTTGCAAATTACTTTGCAACTTGGGAGAGCTTTGCACAAGTTGCCTTTCACCAGGGCCTCATGTTTTAACCGTTTGTTTAGGGCTTTGTCTTTAGATTGTGTTATGTTTTGTTTGTTTCCTTTTCAACTGTAGGCCTTTGTTCTTGTGTTGCAAGTGTTTTTTCTCCTTCTGATGCCTTTTCTTCCCAGTATGTTTCTCTGTATTTCTTTGATCCCCTCTCCTGTTCCTTTTATCATTTGGACCATTCTTCTGTTTGTTTTTTAGGCCCATGCTGTTGTTTTGTGTTTCTTATTTGGTCCCTCTACTTACCTAGATCTTCCTTCGACATGTGTTTTCGATCCTCTTTTTCAGAGTACTGTCAGTACTGTGGTTCAACTTGAACTCATTGCTTTTTACGGAGCCTCACACTCATGTTTGCCCTCCCTGTTTTGATCACGTTTTCCACTCTGCACGACTGTTTCAGACTCTTCACACAATGGAGCGTGACAAAGTCATGAATGTTGGCATAGTGTCGTGCAAACCAAACGAGCAGGCGCCCCAAAGCGTCTCAAGACCTGAAAAAACGTACAGACTTTTGCGAGCAACTCCTGTCGCTTTTGCTTTTGTGTTTGTGTCATATTGGTCATTCGCGAATTTTGCAAACGACGATCTTGACGAAGACCATTTACCGTTTTGGCCGCTTTTGGTGACACCAGTGACACCAAGGCACCCGTGGATTAGTCGTGGAGAGTGGCGAGGGAATCACACAAGCCTGAAACTGAGGAAACAAAGAAAAGCAGAGGGTGACACCAGGAGCAAGGACGCTACTGGGCGCTCCTGGCCATACTACTAGGAACAAGGACGCTACTAGGGGCGGAACAAGAAGCTACTAGGGGCTCCTGGAATTGAATCCGCTCTCCACGCACACAAACAACTCTCAGCTGCAATGGTAGCCCTACCCACTCTTAAGAGGTGGATAACACCGACTGGACTCACTACTGTCCTCTTTACTCCACGCATAAAAACATGCATTCCTTTGGAGAAAGCCGTTTTGGTGATGTTCTGAAAGACCCAAAAGCGTCAGAATATGTAACAAACATTTTCGTGCGGGCATGTTGTGCAGAGATGCATGCGCACAGCATCTCACAATATCTCGACTTTTTCGCAGCTCCTGTCGCATCAGGGAGTGTCTTCTTGCGACGCCATCAGTTTGCCCGTCCAACGGTCCTGTCGCGACTATTTCGACATGTGAGGGCCTTCGGCCTGCAAGGGACAGTTTACAACCTAAGACCGATGGCCTCCAACCTACTAGCGGTCGATAGACAGTTTGCATATGTTTGCATTTGATCTATGGCAGTTTTCATCTCCTGGGAATTGGTGTCTTGCTTTTCAGGCAGTGCCTGTCTTTGAAGGCTATGCGATACCTCATGCGATCTTCAAAATGAAGGCGAAGTGAGTCTGTGAAAAGGGAGGCAAAGCCGCTTTTGGAGCTCCAAGTAGCACGAAGTCTCACGGAAGGAAGGTTACGTTTTTCACGTCGAAAGAATCAAGAAAAGGAGTAAATGCGAAAGACATGTGAAGCGTTTAGCTTTAGCTGTCGACTGAGTGTTGTGTCTTGCCTCACCACGTGTGTACTCGGGTCACCGGGTCTCAAAATCCGTCTGAGAAAGATCTCTGAAGAAATTGAAACAAGAAGCTACTAGGAACAAGTGCATCGCTACTAGGAGCAAGGGCCTTACTAGTAGTAACAAGAAGCTAGTAGAAACAATAAGCTACTAGGAACAAGTGCAAACATGTTTGAAGCTTCAAAGACCTAATAGCCTTGCTCCTAGTAGCGATGCCCTTTGTTCCTAGTAGCGTCCTCTTGTTACTACGAAGCTTCAAAGACCTAAAAAGCTTCTTGTTACAGGTGAAACGATTCCCAGTGAACCGATTTCCCAAAAGAAGGGTTTAGAGTCCAAAGAAAGTCTATATAAAGAACTATGTTTGCTTTTCTATTTGGACAAACTCAAGCTGTGCACTCAAAGTATGTTGTTCACCGTCGTAAGTACTCCATCTCCATCCATGCTGCGGGTTCGGGCCAGAAGGTGTGATGGACGTGCAGTTTCTAAACGTCGCCAGTTGCAACCTCTTGAGTCACGCAGGTTGCTGGACAAGATATCACTCACCGATTGAAGAGCTTGATGGTTTTGACCTTAGACTTGAGTTCTATTCGTGACCGAATATGTTTCAACTCGTGAACCAGGTTGTTCAAAGTAATGCGACAAGTCGCAGTAAACTGATTGAGTTATTGCGATCTTGGGTCGTGTCATGTCGAAAGATTGACATGTATATATAATATATAGCTACTAGTAACAGGTGCATCGCTAGTAGTAACAAGTGCCTTACTAGTAGTAACAAGAAGCTATTAGAATTATTTACTATTATTTGTGCGTGCTGCACAACCCTCCATGTCCACACCGAGCCGTGTATGAGAGGCCGAAGAGCTTGGGGAGCCTCAGAGTTACCGAACAATGCAGGCGATGAAGGAGAAGGCGGGCAAGAATGGATAGGAATATGTGTAATATTACAATAGTCAATCAAAGGAAGTCAAGACAAGAAAATCCGGAATGGCAGAAATAGCAGAAAATAGCAGATGCTTCAATATGTTGGAGAAAAAAGACCTGACTAGTTCGCCCAAAGACAGCATGCACGGCAGAGATCTCCAGATCTAAGACAGAGTCTTCTGAAGCCAACACAAGTACGTTTGAGAACAGACAAGAACAACGAGAACAGTAGAGATTGCTAGTGAGGGTCTCTAGATTTTATGTCCAGTGTTCTTTGCCTCTCTTTTCCTTCTCCTCTTCCTTCTCCTTGTTTTCCTCACCATGTTCTCTCCTCACTTGGACTTCAGTTCACTGGTCTTGCAAGGCTTTGTGTTGTGGACTTCACTAGCCGGAATAGATGTCAGAATACGTGCCAGAAGAGTTGAAGAAGAACACTTAGTTTTTTCCCCACCTGTCAGGTGAGGCTTGTTAGATTTTATGTCAGCTGCCATGCTTCTCCTCTCTCCTCCTCCTCCTCAACCGCGAGTGTCGGATGGCAGTGTTCCCCGCCGGATCTCGACCGCGAGTCAGAAGGTACGCAGAAGATATGCCAGAATAGTGTCAGAAAGAATGTATGTCAGAAAAAATGCCAAAGTAATGGTTCAATACACGCTAGAAATATCTAGAAATTCTGTCAGACTGAAATGTCATGGTGGGGGTCACTCGAAGTAAAGTAGTTTCCTTGAAGAGTTGTCAGAACATGCAAGGGCAATGTGATGCCAGAACACATGTCAGAAAAGTTGCCGCCGGTGTCGGAGCACATGCCAAAGCACATGTCAGCACATATGCCAGATTCCAGAACAAATCTCGGGATAGATGCGAGGATGTTAGAACATATGCCAGAACAAGTGTAAGAACACATGCCAGAACACATGTGAGAGCAAAGATCAGGACAATATGCCAGATTTGATGCCGGAACATGTCAGTCAGAATATATGTCAGAGCACATGTCAGAGAGGAAACCCAACCCCATACATCAGTGCATATGCCAGCTCAAATATTAGGCGGTTTGCCTGGTCATCTGAGAATGTCAATACATCTATATATCCTTCCTTCTTCAAATCACCACATGACGACTTGCCAGATTACGCAACTCACACCCATCGACACTTTTGAACTAGCCACACACAACAATATCGCAGCACGAACCACCACGCATAACATCACCGCATCACCAACCCCATGAACATGTTGGTTATTTTACCCATAAACCTCCGGCCCCGGCTTTGGGGCAATCTATCGGCTGGTAAAGAAAGGGTTCATGGGGCAGTTTAGATCCGTTCCATTGCATTGGGGCACGAGGTATGCCATGTCAGGTGGCAAGGCATTTCAATTGTAGCCATGTAGCAGTTGTCTTTTAATAGGGGAAACATAATTGAAGTGACTAGTGAGGATAAAAGCAACGTCGACTGAATTTCTTGTCAAGAAAGTGCTTTTGTAGCATGGGGTAAGACACTGCGGTGTTTCTTAGTGAAGTGATGGGGGGTAAGGCCGCCAGGCCTGGTAAGTGACCGATGCACACAGCAAAAGAATTGTTCAGCCTTGGAGAGTCCTTTTCGACAGTACTGGCACTCTTGTAGGTTTGCTTTGTAGCACCATCTGGCAGTGGTGGCATTCCAGCTGCCGCGTTTGTGCCTCGGGATGGTGTGTTTTTGGAATATTGGAGGCTGTGCAATTCTGTGTTGAAGAATGTCCCCGCATTTTCAGGTCAGAAGGCTGATAGCATTCTACGATGTGTTAAATTGCTTAAAGATTTCTGCACTAGTATCATGTCAGTCAACATGTATTCTACTTTTACTTGATGGTGTACTCAAGACGCATTCAATCAAAAGCAATGCCTTTCTTGCAAGAATTTGTTTCTGTAGGTAGTTCTTTCCAAGAATGCAAGGGAACGGGTAGTGTAGAACAGCTCTTTGCATGCGAATAGCTGAACCAGTAGGAGTAGCCTTGCTTTTAGGGATTGTGCTGATCAAACGGAGCGAAGGGAAACGTCCAAAACGGCAAAGGAAGGAAAGGAATATTCTTTGAAGATACTTTCCGTTAACATCAACATGTGCTATTGTTGCAATTCTCGAACTGTAACAAAACGCCTTAGTGAACTAAGCACGGCTGTCATCTAGCGTCCATAAGCTTTGATGAGAGGATGCGAGCAGCTCCACCCGTTTGATGTTAAGTTCCCTAAAAATCTAGAAACCAAATCATTAGTGCCAGCACTTCTTCAAGGAAGCTCCCCCCGCCGCCTTTTCTTCCTTGAAGAAGCGTGAGCTATCCTGGGCCCATACTAGTAGCTACGTAAGCTACTAGCTACAATTCCTTACTTAATTAAGTAGGCACCTACTTAAATAAGTAGGGATGGGGGGAGCGGACAAAAAAATAAATGATATACAATAACATAATATCATCAACCATATATATACATGTAGATAGATGATAACTTAACTACTTTGACCGCACAGACTTGGAAGACAATTCATACACATCTATCGAGGAAGATGAGGCTTGGCCAACAAAGCTGCGCTTTTGCCAAGGTCAGACAGTGGGGACGAAGAAGCAAGGTCATTTGAACTGCCCGATGGCAAGATAATTCAGGCAACCTTGAGAGGAGAGCTGCACCATGACTGCTTGAAAGGACATCTCAAAGGGCGGCCTCAGCCCCAAGTTTTGTAAGAGATTTTAAAATGTCAAATGTAGAGAGTTAGAGGCGTTTAGGGTAGTTAGAGGGATGTGCTTGAACTTACCAAGTTTCTTGTTTGGGGAGGCCATCGCTAGTAGGTTGGAGGCCATCGCTAGTAGGTTTGAGGCTATTCCTATTAGGTTGGAGGCCATTGCAACTAGGTTGGAGGCCATTCCTATTAGGTTGGAGGCCATCGCTAGTAGGTTGGAGGCTATTCCTATTAGGTTGGAGGCCATCGCTATTAGGTTGGAGGTCATCGCTGGTGGGTTGGAGGGCCATCCCTATCTAGTACTGTAGGTTGGAGGCCATTGCTAGTAGGTTGGATTGGAGGGTCTAGACCGAGTGTTTTGTTTTTCAATTCGTTTTTTTTTGCGTTCGGAGGTGGGTGAAAAGATCCGCACTGGAGCCACGGAGATCCTTTTCGGCGGCGTGGAAGGAGAGATTTGTCCTCAGTGAGAAGTGAAGACAAGTGAACACGCGGAAGGAATAACAGGAACCAAACAGAGAATCCTCAAAGAAAACAAAGTAGCATCGACAAATACAAGCTATCCGCTACTTGTAAAGCATAAGCGTCAACATTGTATGAATTTATGGAATGCAACAGCATGGAATTATACCGCGTGAGTGTCCATCAAGAAGCTCCAAAAGCAAATGTATCTACTGCAAACAATTGAATACAATTGCCAGAAATGAGTTAGTGTTAGAAAACACCTGACCCTGACTGTGCTGAGGGCCTCTATGCAGAAGATTTGCATGGATGCAGTGAACACCGTTGACCTGGACTTCCGACAGGAGAGAAAATGTGAGAAGTTGCCTGGTAAATTTGTAAGATTGTTTAGCGTTCAAATTTGTTTGGGCAAAGTTTGTTCACCGGCCCATTTCTTGCGGTAGCAAGGAGGAAGTCAGCCTTGGAAGAAATACTGCGAATTTACATCAATTGACAGAAAATAGAGGACGACATGAAGAAAAAAGCAAGGAAATTTCTTCATTCTTTGATTCATTCTTTCTGGACACTTGATTTTTCGGTGTTAGTCGTCTCAGGACCCTGAATAGACCTATTTTGGTTCTGTTCGAATTTTAGATGTTTGTAAGGAAGAGCGTGAGAACCCTGCTCCTTGAAGTCCAACATGAGGGCAGTTACTCCTTTGGCTCGTATCGCAACTTCAACTTCAGTAGCAGCGCACCATTCTGACCCGTAGAAGTATACTGACCGTACTTGCATGCTGTTCATGGCTGCCCTTCAGCTTCACGGACTTTGTCGCGATGACAGCTATGCTTGCAAGCCATTGCGCATTGCCTCTTGTAACTCCGTGCCGGTATCATCGGTTAGGTTATAGGTTGGTTTGGGATACAGGTGGTACTCTAGGGAGCTGTTCAGCTTTTCGTTCTTTATTTATCGAGTCTGTGATCACCATCGAATAACGCTGCCATTTTGGCAAGAACTGGAGTGATCACCAGAGCCTCAATATTTTTCCCCACCCTGCCCTCCCTGTGGTTTCGACTGCAGGGAGAGGTGGGGGGGAGCTATAGAACTGAGCTCTAGCCTTATGGTAGCTCTCCCTGCAGTGTGTGATATTTTGTTATATTCTTCTGTGCTCTGGTTACTGCTCTGTTTTATTTGTGTTCATCAGCAGTTGTGACCAAGAGAGCCAGATAATGATCACGGATGCGTGAGGCCTGATGCTCAATGGTTTTTCCTGAAAGGAAATGTTAAAATATGAGTGATGGCAGATCTACAGAGAAGCTGAAAGGGTGAAGACATTCACACGTCGCTGCTCTCATGAGTATCGTGAATATAACATCGCTTGCTGAATGAACACATTCACAACCAGCCTCGCTGCAACCTCACGCAAGCCGTGCCTGACTCCTCAATCATTTGCTGCGAGCATGTACACATGGAATATAAGAGTTTTTACTGTTACTGTATAAGCAGCTTCACATTTGATAGTTTTTGGTCACTGCTTTTTCATGAACAAAAAAGAACAGTCTTGTGTGTTGCAATGTCAGGATCTTGTCAAAAGTGTGGTTGTTGCTGGCAGCGCTCCAAGAATGTTGAGGTCTCTCGTGTGAGTTACACGTGAAACACGAGAAACTCCCGTGCTCAGGTGGGACCTCCATGCTGCTAAATTTGGCACCAAGACTGAGGCCGGCCTTGGATGGCAGCATGGTATGCTGAGTGTGGTTTAGTAGGAAGGAGGCCATTGCTATGGTATAATTAGATCCTTGTTTTGAATGTATCGATAGAAGGAATTCTGGCGTTGTCTCGAGGATGGAGCTTAAAGGTGCATTGGCAGCAGATCTGTCACGCACAGCATGGTGCCTAAGTCGGTGCCGATTATTTCTTGCGAAATGCGGCAAATCATGCAAATAATCTCCTCCGAATTGCGATTAAAACTTGTTGTAGTTTGTCGGAAATTTGTTGTGGTCTCTGAGGTGGAGGTGGTGAGTGATTCCCAGCGTCGATTTGCAGCCTGGATTGGCGGTTCAATGTTCGCATCGCTTTCCACCTTTGACCAAGTGGCGATCACCAAGCAGGAACAATCAGCCATGCACATTAGGCTGTCATTAGGCTGCACCAGTGCATGCATTTGCAATCAGACTATTGCACAGGAATATGAAGATGGCAAAGCAGATGTGCGCAGCCTGGTGGCCCGAAAAACATTTTGAGGCCAGCCTTCACCACCTTCCCTTCTTAGCTTTGAATTGTTTGGTGTAATGGTAGCGAAGCAAGACAATCCTGAGAGGTTGGAACATGTTTGAAATGTTCTTTTTTTTTTGGCCCGCTAGTATGTTGGAGGCCATCGCTGTTTCTTTTTTTCTTTTTTTTCTTTCTTTTTTGTGTTGTTGAACAAACACACCACAAGAAGTGCACTTTGAAGGCCTCGAGGCGGCCTTGCTTTGTTTCACGAGCCGGCTCTTCGTCGCAAGCCTATTTCGCCAATGTTCTCTCATCGCAGCCGCCTATCATTTCTTTCTCCAACCGGACGCTTTATGCCAAGTCTTTCCACTTCAGGTCGAGCTGGTGAAACTACCTACTATGAAAGAAAGTAACAAAGAGCACGAATAAAGGACAATAAGGATTTTCCGAAAAGCGAGAGAATGAAAGAACAGGGAGAAAGATCAAGACAGGTCAAAAGAAGAACGAAAAGAACTCAAAGTAAAATATATACAATAAAACGATTAGCGACGTCCAAGAATGTTCCAAGCTAGTAGAGTGCCGTGACATAATGTTCAAAGCAGCATTCTACTTGCAGACTTCTTGTTGGTTGACGGGTTCAGCCTTGTGCGCCGAAGTTGGCAAACTGCATGGAACCATGCAGTTTCACAAGCTCATCCAATATGTACGTTGGTCAATGTATATACATACATCATACATATATTTGTGTGACATTGCTTGATCTTATGGTAATGTAGTATTAGTAGTTCATGCAATATTGTGTCTACAGATTTTAATAGCATGTTTTATGTTCTTTACATTGTTTTTTGGCTATGTGTGCGTTTGCAGGCTGGAGCTGTGTTGTGGGCATGTGTAGTCCGAAAGGACTTCTGAACGAAAGGGAATCATTCCTGCACGGTACGCTTCAACAAAAGCTGACCTATTGGAAGGCATTGTATTCTACAATGTGCTAATGCTCCTTATGCAGTGATGTTTGCCTACGTAGCAAAACCAACTCTGTAGTTGAGGGCATGCTTCACACAACAATCGAGATCATTGCTTGTTCATCGACGCGCGGCGATTATGACGCACAGAACGTGCTGTGCAAAGTGTTTGTACTTTCCTCAACATGAGGATCTTTGCGATTAAGTCTTCTAAGTGAGACACTCATCCGCCCAAAAATCCGTAACGGATCTTCTAGAGATTTCTTGCTGAAGTTGTGTTTTCACTCTGGTGATGGAAGTAATGTCGAATCCGGAGGGAGTATTACAAAGATTTCGCCCTGAATAGTTTAGTGGGTGGGAACAAAACACGTGCAGAGTGTCGTTTGAGGTCAGTCTTGTCTATTGATTGGGAAAGTATCTAATCTAAGCTTACCTTTCCATTGTGTTGTTATTGTTGCCCTTTAAGATCCTTGCTAAACCTCTTCTGAGTTTGGTTTGATTTATGGAGCTCTGACCTGAAAACCTTTCAACAACCCTTTTTAAAGCTCATCGAACTCATTGCTCCAAACAACTTTTGAAGGGGGTAGCACACAAGCCCAGGGGAAGTGAATAATAAGAAACGCTCAGGGGGTGGGATGAATGCACCAACTTGGAGTCCTTATTGTAAAAAACAAGTTTGCTATTGTCTTGCTATTGCTGCCCTTAAGATCCTTGCCAACTGAGAGCTGCACATGCCTGCCTGTCTTACTGCTACTGCTACTACTACTAACTACTACTAATACTACTCCTACTTCTACTTCTGCTAGGTTTGGTGGGCTCGACACTATTCAGTCTCCCTCGATTGTTTGCTGGGGGGAGGGGTTTTGCTATTCAAGATCCAACACTACAAAGTTACACTCATTTCTCAATAGAGTCACTCCGAACAGACGGTTTTTGCCTCCTTTTATAGGATGCAATGTTTGGAAAGTCCACGCAACCGCACTTGCAGGTCCCGCCCCAATGTGTTGTTTTTGCTGAACCTAATAGTCCATCGGTATTCCCGGAACTGCGCTATCAGCCAAATGTTCGTCAAAACATCTGAAGATTCGGTCACAAAAAGCTACACGAAGACAAGGAGGAAAGCTGTTGTAGTGCAAACAACATGTATGCAGCAGGCATATGAAAGGCGATGCAAGACTCCTTCAGGAACTTTGCAATGTTATCACCCAATCGGCCAAGAGCAATGACTCCATACGAATTGGCAGCCTGCCAAACGCACAATTGGCGATCACGGAGAAGCCTCTTCTGACTTCCTGACAAACATTTTTTGTTAAGCAACGGCCTCGAACCTACTAGCGATTGCCTCCAACCTAATTACTAGCGATATCTAGCCATTACCTCCAACCAAAAAGCTTCCAACCTACAACCGACGCTTGATTTCTTTTGACATTTGACCTGACCTTTGGACGGTGTCTTGTACTTGGCTTCACTCATTTAAGCACGCTTGCGTGATAGGCTATTGAGGCTAGTGATGTAGTTGTTTGTTCGGGAGTCTATTCAAAAGAACCGAAGACTAGCGCGTCGTAGTAGAAGCAAAGTGCAATGTTTGCGTTCTTGATGCTGGCCAGTTGATAGTGATGCAATGATCTCTAGTCTATGGCTCTATTGGCTGTGCTTATTTGTGTATTAGCATTGTCGAACCCCCCTGAACGTAGGAACAAGAAGCTACTAGGGGCTCCTGGCATCGCTACTAGGAGCAAGGACGCTACTAGGGGCTCCTG